AAAAAAAAAGAGTGGGAGGAGACCCTCAGAGCAGGGGAAGTAGCAGAGGGCAGCAGAGACATTATGACATTCTCTCGTGAGAAGGGGTGGGGTGGGGGGAGTTTGAAGGGAGCAGAGGGGGTGAGAGGAAATGCTGGGGAAGAAGGAGAACAGCCATCCAGGGCAGAGCCCGGAGCCACAGCAAGTGTGCCTGTCTGAGCCTAGGAACTGCTTTTGCAGTGACAGCAGTCTAAGCCATCCTGGGGTATCTCTTTTCCCCAAAGAGAAGCCCTATCTCCCACCATCCCACTCCTGTGCTTTAGTTCTCCACCCAGGAGTGACCCTCAGATTGGAGAAGGGACAGTTGCCCTGTGATCAGAGCTTCCCCTGTGAACGTCACTGGGTCTGCCCTGGGTGGAGAGGCTGGCACGTCTTCACAGTGACCTCTGAATGAGGGTGACACCTTATTCTCAGAGGAGCCAGGATCAGGCTCGACATGGAAGAGGCTGCAGGGGTCAGGCTGGAGGAAAGGCAGAGAGCAAGTTTATTTTTAAACCCAAGTGGGCACTAGAACTGCCAGCAAGAAGCAGACGGCTCTCGGGGAGAGTCGAGATTGGCAGCCAGTCAGGCACTTGTCAGGAAACCTGGAGGCTGCCCAACGGGCAGGGGTTCAGGCGGCTAAAGGCCAGGGYCATGTGGGAGGGGTGGTGGGATGAGAGGAGCAGGGTTAACACCTCAGAGTTCAGCTCCAGCACTTCCCAAGGAGGCAGTGGGGATTGGAGGATGAGACCTGGAGTCCCCCAACCCCCTGAGAAGTGCCTTTGTTCCCTCACCCSTTGGCTGAGTCTTGATCTGTGTCAGCTGGACCAGGTGACTAGCTCTGTGAGGGAGTAGAGGTCAATCAGGAGTCTGTTAAGGGCTCCTTGCTGCTAAAACTCCCTCATTGGAGGTGTTCTGTCAGCATTCTGCAGAGCCAGGTGGCTCTCGGTCCTGAGAGCTGACCTGGAAGGTGGCCTGTGGCCTACTGGAAGGTCTTCCCCTCTGCTCTGTGCCAACGGCGCTGCCCACAGCTTCATAGCCCCATCGACCTCACCAGGGCCAAGACAAAGGTGCAGGATGCTGACAGGCCCTCTAAGAACTCCTGCACCACGGGAAGGGGTCCCAGGACCCTCTTCAGGAACTGTCACCAGGGCTGGTCCCCAGGTCGTAAAAGCTGAAGCCTCTCAGAGGACATGATAACAATAGCTCGAGTCTCAGCACTGACCCTCGTTATTTTACTCTCAACAGCAGATGGCTTGAAGAGCCCATGGGCAAGAGCTCTGAGCATTTGGCTAGAAGTCTTCAGGAGTCTTCTTGGCACCCAGCCTCAGGGTTGGCTGCTTCTCTCTCCCGCTGACCTTCTGGAAAGGTTGGTAGAAATCTTATATTACTTCCAGCAAGTCCCAGGGCTCAGAGCCCCTTTCAGGGCAAAGTAAATCTAGGTCTTTCACTCTAGTTATAATTTCCCCATCTTGCCTTCCAGAAAGGACTGTACACACGGCTTCTCTGACCTCTGATGAGGCAGCGTCTGTTGTACCTGATCCAGGTCCCTCTGTGTGTCTGCTGCCTCTTCCTCCTTACCTCAAGCTTCCTGGGTTTCAGTCTTGCTACTTCATAGCACCAGTTGTAGGCACTTGTAGCCACTGAGCACTTGAAATGTGGCTAGTCCAAACCTAGATGTGCTTCAAGAGCAAAATACATTCCTGATTTTAAAGATTTAGTGCAAAAATAAAAGAAAAGAGAACCTAACATCCCAATAATTATTTTTATGTTGATTACATGTGGAAGTGAGAATGGTTTGGCTGTATTAGATTTAATAAAATGCATTATCTTTATCTGTTGCTTTTAAAACTAGGCTACTAGAAAATTTTAAAACTCACCTGTAGCTTGCTGTGAGGCCTACATTCTATCCTGTGGGACACAGGTCTAGACACAGGGATGAGCCATGATGAATGTGTCATTGTTCCTTCAACTCAACAGGTAGACTTTCTGAGCACCTGCAAGGTGTAGCAAGGGCTTCCTGAACCCAGCTCTCCATCCTGGCCACCTTCAACAGGAGAGGGCAGGCAGTGAGCAGCCATGTCAACCTGAGCAGACAGCTGGGAACTGGAATCCGTACCTGTGATCCATCCAGAAATCCTACGGGGTGTGTGCTAACTCATTTGTTCGGGGGACTCAGAGGCAGCTGGGGGTTGTGATCTAATAGAAGGACTTTCTACTTTGGAAAAAACACCCCTGAGTATTTCTTGCAATAGGTGAGCTTCCCAGCAATTTCAAATTCTTGGTCCCACTCCCCACTGTTTAGGAACCACTCCTCTGAACTGCCTGTGACGTCTTCTGAGTGAAAGTACTCTTCTCAGATGATCAACCTGTTTGGGACACACCTGAAGCTCCATTCCAGCCCACAGGCATTTATTTCCTCCTGGAAAGTTTCAGAAAGAGGTGCAGGCATCATAGGCAGGGAGGCCAGAGGCAGAAGGCATGGGCACCTCCTGGCACTCCCATTGCCAGCYAGCGCCTGCTCTTTCCTGAAGCCTCTGCTCCTGTAGGCACTCAAAGATAACACAGCACCAAGGCAGGGAGGTGGCAGGTGACCCTGCACTGACCTTCAGAGCTAGGACTGCTGAACCTCCCCTGTGCCCTCTCTGCCAACTATCTACTAATAGCCTCAAATTTCAGTCGTTCAGGGGCCAGCAGTGGACTCAGCAGACCAGCAACTGGGAACCGAGAAGGGGTTAAGTGTAGAGACGGAGCTGTTGAGAGGCAGGAGCAATGGAAAAAGTTAAAAATAGGGTATCCAGCCCAGAGCAAGGAAGCAAGGGACACTCAGACTTGGGTCCTTGACTGACGGGTTTGAGAATGCCTCTCGCCTCTTCACCCTGCACACTGGATGGAAAAGCTGCCCATCAGCCTCTGGAGATGCCTCAGGTGTTCCCTGCATCGGGGRCACTGAGACGCTGCAGTAGGGTGGGGACTGGGAATCTAAGTTGAACGTGACCCTCTGTCCTATCTCTGTGTATGAGTTCAGGTGGTCCTGGGAGTTCTGCCATTTGGAACAGGGCTCTGATCCTGGCCCTCCTAGCTGCCCTCTCCCCAGGACCCTGCCTGGTGCTGCACAATCTCCTCCCTGTCCTGTCGTCCCTTCTTTTCCTGCTCCCACCCCCTTTCTTTTTCCTCTTCCCTGACTGCACCAGACTTCCAGTGCCGGTGGACCCTCCCAGGGTAGGTCCTTCCCTCCGCCTCCCCAGACAGAGCACCTCCTGGCCCAGAGGGGACTGACATGCCAGAGTAGGGTGGAAAAGAGRTTCTGGGCTCAGACTGCAGCCACTAACCAGTCTTGCCCACCCCAGCTGGGCAGAGAGAGTAGAGGGTGGGAACCGAGCACTGTGCCCTAAGAGTACAGCTGGTACTGGGCTGGTCCGGCTTTCTGGAGTCTCTGGAGTGAAGAGAGACTTTTTTGGCATTGGCCTTAACAGGGAGGKTGAGTGTCCTGCTTGCTTCACCCTGTGCTCGGCAGAAGCCAGAGCAGGGGCAGTGTCTTTGTTGGGGCAGGCAAGGAAGGGAGGGCTGGGCCTCCACCCGGTGTCTGTTTCCTCGCCCGGAATGGGAGAGAATGGAAAGTCATGCCCCTTCCTCTCCTTGTGTTCCTGGGGGCTCCCTTCCTGCCCCCAGCTCCCTGCTCCCCCCCCCCAGTAGTCAAGCTCCTTGCCAAGCCCCAGGAGGGAGAGGGCCTGAGTCACACATTAAGGCCATTTACAGAAAGGAGAGACACAGGTTGGTGTGAGCTCCGTGGAAGCCCCAGGATGTGATCTTTAATTGATATTCCTGGCCCTGCCTCCCCACCCCAAGCCCCAGATGACCTATGTACAGAATGCATAGGGAGCCAGGTCCAGGCCAGGCCAGAGAAGTCCCCACTCCCCACTGGGCCAGGCTGTACCGTCAGGGCGGGACAGGAGGATGCAGACAGCTGGGAGCCAGGATCCACTGGTCACAGGAAGTCTCTTCTCCATGTCCCCACCCCACGGGCACGTGAGCACACAGACATGCCCATGTGTGCGGAGGCATTCACACTTGTGCAGAGATGTGGGTCCACATGCTTGTGCCCAGATGCATTGCCACTTGTGTGCCCATGTGCCACCTGAGAATGGAGGCCTCAGGGTATCGTGGCAAGAGTGCAAAGCCCAGCCCTTGACCAGCCTCAGGTTGTGGAGCAGAACTGGAAAAAGGGGCCACCTGCTCAGCCCCCTCACTTGGGCCGAGCCAGCTGGGGCACAGTACTGAGGACCTCACTGTAGCTGATGTCACCCAGTCACCTGAAAGGCTGTCAATGGGTCCCAGACTCATTTGCCTCTGAGGGTGGTTTGGATAAGTAGGGAGCCATTTCCTCCTTGATTCCTCTTCAAAGAGGCCCCAGAAAGAGGGACACAAGCAGGCAACTTAGAGACCCTGGGGTGTTCAGAAATCCCTTCTGAGTCTAGATGGTGAACCCTGGGGTGGGGCGACTCCATCCATTGTGGCTTTCATCCATAAGGTAGCCCTCTGCTCATCACTTTTAGGGTCACAGAGCCAGAGCTCCTGCATCTCAAGTGAGGGCCATGAGGGCAGGCTGAGGGCAGGCCTGTTTGTGGGAGGGCTGAGGAGAGCTGCCGGCCTTAGTCAGGCTCTCAGGCGTGGCCGCATCAGGGTCAGAGGAGAAYAGATAGGGACACATCTGTAAACTTACTGGTTGGGCCTGGAAGGGATCAGGGAGTAGAAAGGGTTTGATGAGGCCTTGAGAACTTTTCTAGAAACCTAGGATGGTCCCCAAGACCTGCCCTTTCCTCATCTTCTCTTACCTCATAGGCACTACCCCTCCAGGCACYGGGACCCTGCTGGCCCTACCTACCTAAAGAGCCCTCCCTGGGAGAATGGCCTGGCCTGGGACTGCCAGGCCCCGTCAGGGGGCACCTAAACCCTGAGTCAGCCCCAGAATTACCCTTATCAAAAGGGGAAGGTGCCATTTTATTTCAGGGACTGTATTTTCTGGTCCCCTGCCCCACAATACATGTGTCCAGGCAGGAACCAGATTGTTGTTTTGGAATTGAAGACAATCTGGGACATGTGGTCACCGTACCCACAACCTAGCCTTGGGCACGGGACAGGCAGCTTTGGTTTGAGATCAGCACACATACTTCTGAGCTCCTCAAGGCTGGGGTTGGGGGCGGGGCAAGCGGGACGTCCAGCCACTGGGTGCAGTGACAGGATTCCAGGTGGGAGCATCCCAGGGGAGGGTCTCCCTGAGATGACCGTACCTCAGTTCCTCCAGGCCCTCTGGTAAATGTCAAAATATCCCTAGAGCTGCCCTGGCCCCAGCACCCCCAAGGTTACATTCATTAGTTAAGATTCAATTAAAAATAAAAAGTAGATGTCAGCCCCTTCCCGCTAGGTCCTAGAGAGCTGAGTCCCTGGTACCAGCTGTCTAGTTCTGAAGAGGGGCCATCCCAGGCCGTGTCTGCTGGTGGCTGCCTGCCCCCATTGGGGCACCACTCCAGGCCCCCCCACTTGAGCTGTGGCAAACTGTGATGATGGAAGCTACATTCACAGGGAGAGTTGGTGTGCAAGGCCAAAGCCGCATGAGRTGGGGTGGGACCGTGAAGGAAATGCCCTCCAGGCCTGGGCCACCCTGGTGGTTCGAAGGGCAGGGCCACAGCCCCCCCTCCAAACCCCTGTGCAGCCAGGAGTTGAAGGGTTGGACCTGGAAGACATTTGCACGGTGCCTCCCTCTGTGGCTGGGTGGGGGCAGCCTCGTGGTTCAGGGCCGAGACGGTGGGTGCCAGGCTCGGAGGGAGGGGGGTGGCGCTTAGGCCCCTCCGGACCTGGAACGGAGAGGGGGCATCAGGGGAGGGTATGAGGCAGGGCCCAGAGGGAGAGCCCTCCAGCTGGRGAGTCAGTGCTGGGCCCTGGAGGCAGCAAGTCACAGGCTGGCCGGGAGGGGGTCTGGTGGGAGGTAAGACAGCGGTGACATGGAAGACAAAACAGATGGGACGCAAAAGGAGGATCCCTTCCCAGGGAACTGGGGCTGCAGGGGGCACAGCTCCAGGGCCCACCTGGCCAGGTGGTCAGGCCGCAGAGGACGAGGGGGCAAGAGGAAGGGGTGGGGCAGGCTGAGAGCGTTCATCCCAGGCCGCCTGCAGGGCTGGGGAATCGGCCCCCAGCTCCCGTCAACAGAATGCCAGAGCACAAATGAGATGGAGGAGACAAGGACAGCGGGAGGGATGATGTGGCCGGCGTCACACTGCCCCCTGCTGGGTCGGGTCGTACCTTCCTCTGCGGATGTTTCTTCAGGAGCCAAGGCAAGACAGGGGAGAGAGAGAGAGGAAAAGGAAATCTGACCTYCCCCTGCTCTCCAGGGAGGGGCCTCCCAGCCCTTGTGAGACTCCCTGACCTAGAGAAAGGCCTGGGTCGCCAAGACCTGGACAACTAAGGACAGGGCCGGTGGGCAATACTGAGATCTACCAAAAATGGGCACTGGGTTCAATTCCTGACTCTGCCACTAACTCACCATTTGACCCAGTGCCTCAGGTTCCTCCTTCGTATATCGAGGGGGTTGGATCAACTCCAGGGCCCCACACTTAGATGACCAAGGGGCTCTTAGGTTCAGTGGGGACTAGGGATAAGGGAACACACACCCTGGCACAGGTGAGCCTTGCAAGCCTCCACCCGGCTGTGCTGAGAAACACTGAGGCACACTGGGGCCCAACRTGTATACTATAGTACTGGGGAGTGAACCCCAGGGTGTCCTTCCACTGACCTCCATCCTAGCACCACCTCCCTTGTTTTTTGTTTTTTAATTTTGTGACAGTCTTGTTGCCGAGGCTGGCCTCAGACTTGAGATCCTCCTGTCATAGCCTCCAGAGTCACTGGGATTACAAACATGTACCACCACTCCAGCCAATCTTTATATTTTTCAAGAGAGGCTGGCAGTTGGGATTGTTAAACGTGAAATTTCTTGGTTTCTAAATGTGAGCAATTGTTCAAATGTTGCAACGAGACCCTGTGGGCTGACTTGGACTGGTGATGTGTGAGCTCTGGTTTATGTAACCTCTCAGGGAAGTCCCCCTCAGCTCCGACAGTCTGAGAAGACACCAGGGAGTCTAGGGTGCATGTATGTGTGTGTGCACGTCTCTTACTTAAATCCCCAGCCCGTGCCGCCCAGGACGATGGCTGCAACCAGGACAGCCCCGGCGATGGAGCCAATGATGATGTTGGTACCGCTGGGACCTGGGGAGGAGGGCAGGGCTTGGTTGGCAGGGACAGGAATGGAGAATGGGAAAGACAGACCCGCCCTGGCCAGCTCGAGCCTCACCTTTATATCGCTCTGTCTCCCCGGTGGGTGGGGATGTGGGCAGGGGGTTGTGGATGCTGCAGTCTTTGCCTGTCCAGTCAGGCTGACAGATGCACTTCCCTTCATTGCTACAGACCTAGAGGTGGGGTGGCGCCAGCAGAGGTGAGTAGACCTGTGTCCCCTCTTGTAAGCCTCTCTCACCATCCCTGGCCTCCAGGCACCCACCCCGTGGTGGGAGCAGATCCGGCGTTCCCCACTGCCTGGGCAGGTGCTGAAGTTGAAGGCAGAGGCTGGCAGGCAGCGGTGGTCCAGGCACAGCATGTTGGGCCCACAGGCCGTGCCATCCTCCACATAGCTCAGGTCTGAGCCATCAGCCAGCTGCACATGGCCTCCCCTGGGAGATGATACAGCCAGCTTCAATCCCCATCCCCTAGCCTCCATCAGAGCTGCCACCTCCCCTTCCCCAGCCATGGTCCCAACCAACACCTGCAGTCCAGCTCCTTGCCCTGGTGGTAGAAGGTAACACTGCTGATGTCTCCCCCTAGGTCCCCTAGCCGAGGTGCTCCAGAGATGTTGACACAGAGGAGGAAGCCACAGAGCACATCCCTGTTGGGGCATGTGGAGATAGTGAGCCCACGTTTGGTTCCAGACCCAACTACTGAACTCTGTTCTGCCCTTTCCACTGGGCTTCGGGCTCCTCCTAGAAGAAYCTGAATATCACTTCCCTCCCCAGAGCTGGGGAGGCTCAGTAGGTGCCTTGACTACTCACTGCTTATTGCACTGGACCCAGCCTGACCCCTTGCGCCCACAGTTCCCACGCTCTGTCCCCTCCACATTCAGCTTCTCATAGCAGAATCGATCAGCAGCCACTGGGGAAAGATGATGCCAGGTGTCACCCCACCTACCCCAGGACCTCAGGCCCATACCTCCCCGACTGTGGTTTGATTTCCAGGCCAGTTGGCTCTCTGAGATCCTGGGARCCTCTCAATTCTGGGTCCCTCAGAGTCCCCTCTCCACACTTAGCCAGACTCACCATGGCCCCAAAGGGCCTGGCACTGTCGGTCCCGAGTTTTGCAGCGACCTCCATAGCAGCGACCCTGAAGGAGCAGCAAACGAGACAAGAGATGGAGAGAGACACTGGGGGATCAGGTGGAGACAAGAGATTGCATTGAGCCATGAGGGGAAGGAGCCCCCTCCCCTCATACCTGCTCATGATCACAGTAGTAACCATCCAGCTTGTGCAAGTTAGGGGGACACTGTGGAAAGAGGGCTGACTGAGCAGACACCCCAGGGAGGCATACAAGCTTGCCAAATGCCTGGGGGCTGAGAATGTAGCTCAACTGGTAGAGTGCTTGCCTTGCATGCACAACGCCCTGGGTTCAATCCTCAGTTAAAAAAAAAAAAAGCCTCCCCTGGGAATGGGGCTCATGTTACAGGGTTCTTGAACCTTAAGGACGAAAGGGATGTGTCTGGTTCTGGATTTAACCATGTAGATTCAAAAATCCTTTGGCCTCTCCAGCTTTCCTCAGTCTTCTACACCCACCCATCTCTGAGGACAGGGAGAAAAAAATGCCTAGCACATAATTACCACTTAATTGATGTTAACCAATATTATTATCCACTCTGATCCCTAGCATACACTAGGTGCTGTGCCAGGCGCTGGAAATACCAGCCAGACTGTAAATGCTGGTTTAATGATTGAAGGAACGAAGCCAGGAGGCATGAAGAACCCCTTTCTCAGATAAGAAAATGAGATGATGAGCGGCTAGTGTCGCCAGCTGCGAAGCGAAGGGGCTCAGAGAGCTGTCACAGAGCCAAACCGATAGTGATAGGGGCTGCCTTGCCCGGGGCTCCGTAGGACCACTTGGCCGGGCGGACCTGGCTTGAGTCTCCAGTGCAGGTCTCCGCGATGTCGCATTCGTTCACCGCCTCTCGGCAGGAGACACCTCGTGGCTCGTACTAAGGAAGGGATGCATTTCGGGGCTATAGACACCTCGGCGCCGTCCTCTCCGGGACCATACCCTCTTCCCCGCGGGTTCTCATTTCCCTGTCCCCTCCACTTACGGGCTGCTCACCCCTCACCCCCATCCCACCCCTCAGAGCCAGGCTTTTCAACAGTCCAAGGTGGCCGAACGCCCCGCCCCCAATCGCTCATTGGTGCTTCTTTCGCGCCAGGTCCCGCCCAGATATGTGCTCCGCCCTTAACAGCTCCGCCTCGTGTGTGTGTGTGTGTGTGTGTGTGTGTGTGTGTGTGTACACACGCGCACGCACGAGATGAACCCAGAACCTCATGCTTACCAGGCAAGCGCGCTGTACCACTGAACTACACCCTGAACCACATCCCCAGCCCCTGCCGCCTCTTATCTGAAGTCGTCCCATTGTCCCTCCGTGGTCCCGGCCCCGCCCGATCGCTCTTCCTCACCTTGCAGCGGCGACAGCAGAGCCCGTCGCTGCACATAGCATCGTGAGTCAGAGTGCACTTCTTGCAGCAGTTGCCACCCGCTCGGCTGCATTCCTGAGGGTCGCGAAGAGTAGCGGAGGGAAGCGGGCAAGTCCTAATTCTCCCCACTCCGACCCTCCCCCGCGCCCACCTCCGCCTCCCTGGTCCCATCTGGCGCATGCATCGGCCACTCACCTGCACCGAGCCGCAGTCACATTCCTCCCCCGCCTCCACGAAGCCGTTTCCGCACTCGGGGGGGTCCAGAAGCTGGACCGGGAGGGGGTGTCGGGAGTCTGGCTGGGACCTTGCCCAAGCCCGCCTCCCCTGTACCCCGCCCCGGGGTTGGTACCTTGAGGGGCTTGTTGAAGAGGCAGCTCCCACCGCCCTCCTGCAAAAACTGGTTGTACTCATCGATGCTGCAGCGCGAGAACTTGCGGGGCAGGTAGAACCTGGGCGATGGTGAGGGGATGAATGATCCCCCCCAGCCCGCCCTCTCGCCCCTTGTTAACTCTGGGGAGCGGGCACACCAGGGTCTCGGTCACCATCGAAAGGCGGCTGAATGCACTACAATCCTCCCGCCTGCCCATCAAGGAATGAGCGGAGGACGTAGCTCCCGCCAGCTCTGCGGAATCTCAGGATTCCGTGCATTGAGAAGGGACCGCGCCTCCACACGACGCTCGGGCGGCGCCCAGTGGCGAACGCGTGCACTACAGTCTGGCCAAGTTTCGTGTCCCAGCAGGGGAATCTGGGCCTTCAGAGTAGTGTTCGAAGAGAACTGGACTTCTTGGAATCCCGTGTGGTCCCGTGAGCTGGGCTTTTGGGGCGCAGATTACATCCAGTGCCTTTTCTAGGATTCCCCTCAAGACCCTCTCCTCAGTTCGTGCCCAAGAACTCACCCAGTATCCTCCATGATGCAACCCAGCCAGATGTCTGGACACTTGCAGTCCCCTGAGAGGGAGCCAGGAGGATATGAGGGAGGGTGGGGGACCACTCCCTCCCACTTACACCCTTTTTACTTCTAGAGTTGCTGGGTGTGGGTGGAGGCTGGCTGTGGGATCACTTGGTGTTCTCTAAGGGTTGATACCTGCTGAGCTCCTGTGTTTGTTCCACATCATGCCCAGGTTCTGCCCCAGCGTCTGGGCCAGGGTCACTGCCATGGCCCCCATGTTGCCATACTAGGGGTGGGGAAGATGGAGCACAAAGATGTCTCCATCCTCCCAACAGGCATCTTGGGCGCTGTATCCCCTCTCCCTCAACCCCACCTCAGCCAGGCCCTCCCTACTCACCTCGTTGACACCCCCACCCCTGGACAGGGAGCAGATGCCCCCCACGTAGGCTGCACCACTGCTGGTGCTCTGGAAGGTCCTGCCCCTGGAAGGAAAGGGTTGTCAGGGTGATCTCCTGCCTTCCCTATGCGACTCCCTGGGGTGGTAGGAGGTCGGGGGCGGGGACCCTGACACTAGAGTCCTTCCTTGGGGAAGCAGGCAAGCCCCCCCCCCCGGCCTCATTTGCCTGAAAGTGAAGTAAGAGATTCCTATTAGATCATCTCTAGTTGCAAGGCCCTGTAATTAGATTCCCCCCACCCCATCAGGGTACTGGGTCTCTGAAGGGGAAAGAGGGGACTGTGGGGAGGTAAGGGTATATGAAGACCCCCCCCCCGGGGCTAAGGCAATGGGACCCAGCCTAAGATGCAGGGATGCCCAGCCAGTTGCATTTGGCTGGGGCAGGTGTCAAGTGCAAGGTGAGCCTGGCCCTCAGACTCCCCAGGCTCTGAGGAGAGCACCTGCACAGGCAGGTGTTAAGAACCCTAAGCACCACAGAAGGAGCCCAGGCCAAGTGCATGGGTCAAGGGACTCACGAGAAGAGGTGGGTGGCATCACTGGGCTCAGGCAAACCCTCCCGCCGGTAGACCATGAGCCGGGCCAGGGTTTCCAGGAGGTCATCCTGCACCTGGATCTTGTCCCCATCTGCCCATGTTTCCATGGCAACCAGCACAATGCGGGTGTTGAGCTGCTCCTTGTATATCTGGTACCAGAGGGAAGAAGATGAGGAGGGTTGGACGGTGGGAGTGGTTGTGGGGTGACAGGGATATCCCTCCAGGAAGTGGGGGTCAGAGGCTGAAAGTGACCCCYGGATGTGTGGAAGAGTGTGGTGAAGATGGAGGAAGGGCTGCTCACCACATCTGCCAGGTTCACCACCGACTTGGCAAAGTTGCTGGTGAGGACCACAGACTGTCGCATCTGCTCAAACTGCAAAAGAGAAGAGGGGGAGGGAGGGAGGCTTCTTCCTGGCTCCTCCTCCTGGTGTCACCCCCCAAGTCTGGGAACTTACCAGCTGGTGGTCATTGATTACAATCAGCTCCACGTACTTGGTCTCACTGTGTACAGTGGGGTGGCCCCTGCGGACCTGGGGGGTGGGTGGGCACTTGGAATCAGTCCCTCCATGTTTGGCCTCATGGCCAAGCCATGGAAGACTCAGTGTATGTGGGGTGGTCCGGACTGCAGCGGGGGACAGTGCCAGCCTCCACTGTGGCGTATCCCATCCCTCCCCAGCCTGGGAATGGGCACAGAGGGCCAGCAGCCTTTGCTTGCCTGAGATGGGGACCTGTGTAGACATCAGTGTTAGGGAGGAGTTGGGGGTCTCTTCCCAGAGATGGCTCCCTGGCCATAGGTGGGAGTTCCTGCCCTGGACCACAGCCTGATGTCTCTGCAGCCCGAGGTCTGAGCGGGCCCCGTACCTGCCTTTTCCTTCTCAGCCTCGGCCGGTTTGGAGGAGCAGAATGGGCGGGGTCCACAAACAGGCAGCCTGTGGGGAGGGGCAGGTGAGGGGGGCACGGCCCACCCCCACCCCAGCCCAACCTTCCCTCCCTTACCTGGTTCCCTGCATCCGAGGGGGGCTGGGAGGAGAGGGGTCCGGTAAATGAGGTGGGGAAGGGGTCCCTGCAATGAGGGGGGATTAGTTCTTGGGGAGCCAAGCAGGTCTGCTCTGGGCCCAGTTGAGGGGGTAGCTCCAGCCCTTCTCTCCATGCCAACCTAGGGTGACCCAGAACTGGCCAGAGCTCCCATGTCGGATCTGATCTCCCAGATGCTCAGATTCCGAGGTCAAGACCTGGGGGTGCCCTGAGAGACATGGGGCAAAGGACACTGGAGCCCAATTGGAGGTCACTCAGGGGACAGAGGGGACATTGGAGCTGGGGGCATAGGGCGAGGGAACCAGAGCTGGGATCACTGAGGAGGGCAGTGAGTCTGAGGTTACTGAGGGAGGGAGGCGGAGGAGGAGGCAGAGACAGCTGTTGGGACSGTCACAGCATGGCCATCCGAGGGGGTGGTGAGGGCTTACCTGGGGGGCTCCCCAAGGCCCAGCCATCTCTTGGGGCTCCACAATGTAAGTCAGGTTCCCATCAGAGAAGACCCCACTGTGGAGAGAGAGGCACAGATCCCCACCATCCCAGACTGGGCAGGAGGCTCTCCCTGCCACCCAGCCCTGCGGGTACTCACTGCAGCCCCCGGCAGGTGGAGATGGCGGCAAAGGAGTGCGGGCTGCCCCGGAGCTTCCCCTGGTAGTAGCAGTGGTCTCCAGCCCCCTGGGGAGCAGCAGAACAGTAAGCAGAAGGCAACCCACCCTGGCACGGAGGCAGGAGGACGGGGGGGGGGGAGCACAGAAAGCTCCCTGTGTGCAGGTGACTGGAGTCCCAGGTATACCTGGGCCTCTGGGGTCTGGTTCTATGCTGCTGGTGCTCCTCATTGGCTGTTTCCTAACCCTCTCTGTGCCAAGTTCACCTCTCCTATAAAATGAGGAAGTTGGACCATGGCAGGRGTTCTTAGCCATTTGTTGGTCACAGACTCCTTTGAGACTAATATCTAACATTTATATAGCACCTGCTGTGTGTCAGGCCCTCTTCTACGCACTTACCATGTATTATCTCATTTAATAACATGACTGCAATGGACTCACCCTAACCCACACCATCTCACTTGAACACTGCCTCTATGGCACACACCTGGACATGTGGTCTGTGGCTGAGGAATTCTAAGCAGCATGGGTCCTCCTGGCCAGGCTCATGGGTCAGGGGACCAGCAGCACCCCCCTTCCCCAACTCGGCTTCCTGCAGAATTACTTGTGCTCCAGTTACTGAACAGGCTGGGAGGGGGCAGGCTATTTATAGATACTCATTCATCTTTGTTCAGGCTCCAGGGCCTCCAGGGCTGGGACCCTGGTGTGGCAGGCAGCTGGGAATCCCAGGGCAAGAGGGGGCACTTCCTCCACTGCCTCCTCCCAGGAGATCCTAGGGAGACAGCCAGCAGGGCACAGTGAGGGCCCCTGTATGCCCCCCACAAAAGGCGGAGCTGGCTTGGAGGCGGACTCCCGGGGCTGGGCAGGGGGCTTCAGGTCCCACRCTGTGCGACCTGCCTACCCAAATGGCCATTCTCAGGGCTTCCAGGGTGAAGAGAGATAGAAGATCTCCAGGAGTCAGGCCCTCCTGAGTATCTCCCTGACCTCCCTTCCACCAGCCGTCTGTCCCTCCATCTTTTGTCCCCTCAGGGCTGGGGATTGAACCCAGGGCCTCATGCATGCCAGGCAAGCACTTAACCTCAGAGCTCCACAGCAAGCCCTGACCCTACACCTTTGCCCACAGAAACAGCAGCCCTATCCCACCTCCCTGTTCCCTTCCGAAGGTACTCACAGTACTGTGCTGGGTTGTCCCCTCCCTGCTGAAGTGGCGCTCTACATATTGTGAGGAGAGGAGGTGACTGAAACAGCAGACAGATTGGCAGAAGGAAGGAGAGGGTTGTTGGTGAGGTCAGGTCAGGCTTGGGGCCTGTCCCCAGCTCCAGGATCCCCCCACCCACCCTCCACCTGGCACCAGCAGCCACGCCCAGGCACCTGCTGCCCACCCTCCCGCTGCCCTTCCTCCTGGGCTCAAGGCCACACTCACTGGTTCAGCTCCAGGTCCAAAGTGAAGTTTGAGTTGAAGGCTGGGATGACGAAACTCACCTGGGCCAGATGGACAGGCTGAGGTGGGGAAAGGCAAAGGGGAATCAGTCTGAGGCCCCTGGACGGAAGGAGCCCTGGGGAGGGTGCTGGCCCCAACATCTGAGGGGACCCCTCTTTCAGAAGATGCTTTGCACAAGGTCCTCTTCCTCCAAGACCCTGTTCCTTTCCTGGGGGGCAGGGCAGGGTGCTCACCCCTGGGCATGGCCAGCCCCACCCCCTGCCTCTGGGTTGAACTCCTGGGACCAGGTTCCTGGAGCAGCTGGGCCAGTGGGTGGGAGTGTCCCTCAGCCTGCTCATGGCCTCATCCAGGTGTTCCCCGCTGCTGGTAGGACCACCCCAACCTCAGGTGGAGTAAAGGAAAGGTCCCCAGAAGTAACAGAGAAAGGGAGAAGAGTCCTGTCCAGGAAAGGGAAGCAGGCCCTTTGCTTCCTGCCCAGCCCCAGTCCACACGGGACTGTGCGGATATGGACGGAGTGGGCAGGAGCTGATCAGGGTGCCCTGGATGTTGGGCAACAGGCAGGTGCCATCCTCTGAGGAGGTAAGGACTTGGCTCCTCTACTCCCAAATCCATTGCCCTCRGCCTTGCCCAAAGCAGCTCATCTTTAATATTTCAATTCCATGGTTAATTTTTAAACACGGAAGTTTTCCTGATAAATTTTTCAGAGGGGCCTATGCAGTGGGGCTGGGAGGTTCCAGGTTGTCATGGCAACGTACCAGGCCTGAGCAAGATGGCTGCCCTCCCAGGCCTGGGCACCGGTTGCYGGGAGGGGATGGAGACTTGGAGAGTCACTCCAAGAGAAGAAGGCAGGAGAGCCCAGCTGAGGGAGTGTCAGCCTTCTTGGGCCCTGAGTCACAATCACCCTAGGGGTACCTCTGGAGGCTCCTGCCTCCTCCCCAACTGGAGTATACGGCCTCAGGTCTTAGGAAGGCTGGAGGGTTCAGGAGCTGGAGCCTCCTTTCTGCCTGTCCATTTAAGAAAACTGAGCTCCAGATACCAAGGTGAGGGTCACAGCACTCTGCCCTGAGGATGGGAAGCTTTTGTTTCCTGCCTGGCTCTCATGGTAGGGGAGCAGGTCGAAGGAAAAAACGGGAGCCTGACATCAATGTCATGAAATTCCATAGCCTGCTGCCTGGTCTAGCTGCTCAACCACCTGACCATGACTAATCCTCACTGAGCACTTCTTATGCACCAGGCACGGGTCTGTCTTTGATGAGCATGATCATATTCGATCTTCACAACAACCCTGTAGGATAGCTGCTACTGTCATTCCCACCTGACAAACAGGGAAATTGAGGCACAGACAGGCTGATAAATTGGCCCAAGGTCACACATCTGAGAAGTGGTGGAGCTGAGAGTCAAACCTAGGGCATCCATTTCCAGGGCCTTCCCACCCCAAAGGTGAAATAAGATGGAAGTTGGCCTGGGGTCCATGAGAGACCCTGGGAGAGACAGCGAGGTGGGGCGGAGTGCCGAGCCTGGGTAGCAGATCTTTGAGCCCCAAGGACACTGACTCTTCCCCTCCCAGCTGACCAAGGCTCCAAGTCCCATTCTGAGCCCCTAGAACATCGATCAGACTCGAAATAGAAAGTCAAGGACAAGGAGTGACTGCTTTTCTCCCCGCCCCTGCCTAGGGCCTCCTGGCTCTCCCCTCCCTCCTTCCAACCAGGACTGGCTCTATCCCTGCCCCTCCCCAGCCCTTCCTGGACCATCTCTGCCCTCCCTCTCCCCTTGGACGGATCCTGCTTGTTCTGTCGGTCCCCCATGGACAAGCCCCTACGCCAGCCCAGAGAAGCAGCTTGCCCCTGCCGCGTTGCCCTGATTCTCTGTCTCAGGATGTRTATCAGGGTCCTAGCAACTTCTCTGAATTTCAGATTTTCCCGCYAAAAATGATGAAGATGAAGGCCACTTTTGAGACTGAGTGGTTGATGTTKTTGTGGGAGGTCGTCCTGGGCCTGGAGGAGTCTGGCACTTTTAGAAGCTTCCCTACTTGGGAGGTCAGCAGGCTGACCTCACTGTCCCCCTCTGTCTGTGGAGGCCAGGCTGGCCSGCTCTAGGGCATGCCCAAGACAGATGGGGGTGCAGTGCCAGAGACTGCAGAGTCCCTTCTGGCCCCACCTCTATAGCCTGTGAGGCTGAACTGTGGGAGCAGATCCCCGTTCCCCAGCAAGATGCGGGGTTCAGGCCAGAGAAGGCAGGACAGCACATGCCCCGAGGCTGGTCCTGACAGAGGCAGATTTGGGAGCTGCCAAAAGGTGGTGGAAGAGAGGAGAGGAGCAGACTCCACGCATGCTCGGAGGACACAGCTCTGAATGCTGTCTGAAGGAAGAGCTAGATCAGGCAGGGCCTCCTCAGTCCCAGGACCTCTGGGTCTCAGACACCAGAGTCCCCAGAGCTCCCAGCCAAGTTTTCAGGCCAATGTTCTATCAAAGTCCAACTGTTCTCCTGGCCTACGCCTGTCTCATGCCCCTGACCTGCCCCTGGCCTCATTCCATCACCTCCCAGGCCCTGGTGGACTTTCCAGTCTTGAGGTCACACCAGTCATCCAGCCACCACCCCCCMAGTAACCAGCTCAGCATGGCAGGGCCAACTCTGCATCCTGCACTGGCCTCTTGCTGCCCTGGCCACCGGCGTAGTCACGTGCTCCACTTCATTTGATCTCGACCCACCCAGGCGTCTGGACCTCATTTTGCAAATGCTGGACCRAGGCTTAGCGAGGGACACTTGGAGGTGACAGGCTCAGGGTCATGGCCGGGGAGCCAGCTGTCGGGCCAAGTCTCACCCTTGAGCTGGGGGTTGCCTCTGCCGTTGCAGCTGGCAGGATGACGATCCACCTCTCCACCTGAGCTTTCCCTGTTCCTCGTCCCCCACTTTCCCAGACACCTGCTTCAGGGGGACCATACCTCGTTCTCTCTGAGCTCTGTGTGGGGCACGACCATGTTCAGGGTGCAGAGAGAAGGAGGCAACAACTYTGCTGGCATCTCCCCCGAATAATCACAAACACAGATGCTGGTCTCAGACCCAGACCTGCAGGATCTGTTCTTGGGAAAGAGGAGATCAAAGATCTTTAGGGTTCTTAAGTACCCAAGAAAATCTGAACATACAGACCCCTGCTCCCTATGACCTGCAGGCTCTGCCCTTCACGCACCGGCCCAGGAACCCCCAACGGCACCTCTACTTCCCCACAGCCCTCCCATCCCACCCTCATCTRCATGGTTGGTGCCCACAACCTTGGCTACTCCCTTGCCCTCTGGTCCTTTAAGCAAACAGTGTATATATACACACACACACTTTTTTCTTCAGAATCTCACTATGTTGCCCAGGCTGCCCTTGAACTCCTGGGCTCAAATGATCCCCCTTAGCTTTAGTCTCCCGAATGCTGGGACTACAGGTTCATACCGCCATGCCTAGCCGCACTCATTCTTGATGTGTTTTTGTTTTGTTTTAATGACTGATTCACCATTTCACGAGGGCCACCTTTAATCCCCTGGAGCAAGGGGCTCAGCATTCAGTGGAGTGAAAGCAGCAGGAGGCCTAGGTGAGTTGCTTAATCCTCGGCCTCAGTTTCCCCATTGGTAAGATGGGACTGTCAGGAGGAGGAAGAGGAAGCCCTGCTCAGYGTGCTGTTATCATGAAGATGAGTGAAAATAAATGAGAAAGGATGTAGAAAACAGTCCAGCTGAACGGGGCTTTGAGTACCTGGATAAAAGACCCCCTTAGGCAGGGACAGGCTCCAGATCTGGGTGACTGATTTATCTGTGAGGTGTCTCTCACCTGTGGACTTCTTTCCGGAATCCTCTCCAGCCAGCTGGGCTTGGAGACACCACCACCTCCTGGGCTGGGTGGCTGCACATGGGGGAGGAGCTAAGGAGGCAGGGGCCCCCCACGGGGGCGTGTCCTGGCTGGAAGACCCCTCTTTTCACCCCACAACTGACTTGCTGCAGGCTCCCCAGCGAGGTGCTAATGCTGTATTTATCAACAGGACCAGGGGATTCCCAGACACTGAGAACAGTTGGACAAATTTCTGATGATGAGATATGACCTAAATTTTTGAAGACAGAGTCACCTCCTCACAAGGTCATCAGTCCCTCTGGGGGAAGGTGCTGGGCAGCTGGGTTCCTCTAGGCAGCCAGGAGGGGTGCTTGGGAGAGGCCAAGCCCACAGGCTGGAGTCTGGCTGGGGAGGACTTGAGACGCCAGGCCTGCCCTGTGCCTCCTGGAGCCCCCCCTGGCACCTGATGGGTAACCCCCAAAGCCCCGACTCCTGTTCCTCACGCCCATCCCTCAGGCCAGCACCCGGGTGCCCCACTCAGGGGTGCTGGGAACGGGCTCTGGCTGGATCCCAGGCTGGACACCTGACACACATCATCTCTAGCTCTTGCAGCAGCCCTAGGAGTGGGACTGTCATCATCCCCGTTTTATGGAGGAGCAAGGGGGCTTCTCAGAACAGAGGAAGACACGGTGGAGCAGATCTGCACTGAGGTTCGCTCGCCCCAAAGCCACAGCCAACAGCCTTTCAGACCACAGTCTGCGGACCCTCCCTCCTGTGGGGCTCAGCACGTGGCCCTGGGGAACAAGCCGGGTCCACGGGTCCTGGCCATGGCTTTTAGCCACCATGTGCCTCCCAGGAACCTCTCCTTCCCCCACCCCAGGTTAGATCTGCAACTCTGGCCACAGACCACAGCTAGCCTTGGCTCTAGCAGGTGACAGCACTGGGTGATCACTCTGGGCTGCTGCCTGTGACACCCATCTTCCCAGGGCTGGAGGTTGAGCCTCCCTCAGTCGCCCCCACCTCTACGCAGCAGGGAAGCAAGAGGCTCTCTGCGCAGGGCTTCTGGGGCAGCATTTCCAGTAAATGCTGCTGTGGGCAGCTCTCAGAGGCCCAGCTCAGGGAGGAGGCCCCCGCCCCCTGCTGGCTCACATGAGCACTGTCTCCTGGGCCTGGGACCCCTTCACTCCAGACCCTGTTCGCTTCCCTCCATCCTGCCTCTCCTTGCTTCCCAAGGATTCTGGGTTCCCCATGGCCAGCTTCGTGTGAATCAAAGAAAGGTGACCCTCAGGACACATGCAGCCTCTTGGGCCCATGGATTTCATTCAGCTCTCTTACCCCTTGCTTGGCTGACTTGCACAGTCAACAACCAGTCTGACTGTACACTGTGGGCCTCTTATCCTCCTGCCTTTACCCTTAGCTGTGGGCTGCTTGTGACCAGACATTTCTACACTTTCAGAAGCTCCTCACTTTTCTGGGTCACAGGCCCAACCTACTTACAAACTGGACAGAAGTTGAGGGGTTGAGAGCAAAGAGAAAGCAAGGGGTCCCTCATGTCCCTTTTCTATGCAACCCTGAGTGAGGTGGGCAGTCCACCAGCTAAGTGTGCCACTCTGGGTTTCTTTCCCTTTCTCTCTTTCATACTAGGGATCAAACCCAGGGGTGCTCTACCACTGAACTACATCTCCAACCCTATTTATTTACTTCTTGGTCCCGAGATTGAACCTAGGGTCACTTAACCATGTAGCCAAATCCCCAGCTCTTTTTTTTTTTTTTTTAATGTTTTTATTTTGAGAGTTTATGGCTAAGTTTTTAAGGTCTTGCTAATTTGCTGAAGCTGGTCTTCAACTTGCCATCCTCATGCCTCAGCTTTGTGAGTTGCTGGGATTACAGGTGTGCGCCACCATGCCCCGCACCCTTTATATTTTTTATCTTAAAATAGGGTCTCACTAAGTTGCCCAGGCTTGCCTTGAACTTACCATCCTCTTGCCTGGGCCTGCAAAGTCCCTGGGATTATGGGCATGGGTCACTGCACCTGGCTGGATATCAATGTTGACCCAGCTACTGATGTGACTTGGGAGAGTTACTTCCTCTCTCTTTGCCTGTTTTCCCCATCTGTGAAGTGGAAATCATGGTCCCATCTCCTGGAGTCAGGATGAGGATTAAATAGACTCATATGTGTAAAGGCACAAGTGTGCCTGCCTTAATGGACTGGTAATTGTGATCTCTTTATCATCTAATTCTTTCCTGGTCACCTTCTCTTTCCCCTGTGCTAGTCCCATGTCCACCCCCACCAAGCCAAGGATCCCCAGCAACCAAGCCCTTTCCCATAGCCACCTTCTGGAGCTAAGGGGGCTGAGATTTATGATATCTTCATCCAGACGAGGCTCAGAAAGGTGAACGGATCAGCCCAACACCAGGGCAGGTCAGTGCCCAAGGTTCCCCACCCCAGCCCCGTGCAGCAACACGTGCCCCAGGCTGCCCACGTGGCCGGAGACCTTGATGCCTGCTCAGCTGCTCAATTGGAAGTCCTCACCAGGGAGATAACTTGGGACAGAAACCAAGCAGCACGGGTGTAGAGAGCTTCCTGCTGGACCAGGGTGGTCAAGGCTGCCCTGAYCCCACCATCAGCCCCAGAAGTGCCCCAACCCTGGGGACAAATGCTGGGTGGGAGATTGAAAGTCAGAGAAAACCTTCTGGACAGGTCACTTGTCTCCTTTGGTCTTCTTCCATCCTTCTTGCTCTAGGTGCAGTTGGGGAAGTGCCCCTTGACCCAGATCCAGAGAGCCCTGGAGGCAGAACAGTGCAGTGCAGGAGCCCTGGTCTTGGAGAAAATTACTCCCAGCTCCACTAATTAAGATCTGATTGATTTGGGGTAAGTTACTTAACCTCTCTGAGCCTGAGTTTGTTCATCTGCAAAACGGAGCAGACAGATGTTACCTGCCTCCCAGAGTTGCAAGACTTAAATGATGTGCTCACAAAGCTCAGCAGAATGCCTGGCCCAGAGAAGTCCAAGGGAAACTGAGGCAGGGCCCTAAGTCCCCTGAGRAGGCTACGAGAGAAGTCTCAGTCCCAGAGAGACCCCTACTGCAGATGACTACTGCCCACAGACCCACAGGACTCTCCGCTCCCACCCCCGCCCCCAGGCACCCCTTAGGTGTATTCTGATTTGGTCACTAACATATACGCCACACATGCACACAGGCCACCCACTCACCCAGCAGAACAACACTCAAAGAGACACCCCACCCATCCAGTCCCACTGCACCTCCCTGATCTCCCTCACAGCTACAGGCGCCTCCTCTCCAAAAAGGACCAGGCCCAAGAAGCCACTTGGATCCCCGACTTTTCAACCCTACCAGGCTCCCGTGATTCCCCTCATCTCTGCCCCCTGACCCCAAGGTGACATCACTCCTTCYCCAACCTGTCATCCGCTAAAGCACAGTCAGAGTCCCAGCAGTCAGGCAGGGTCACCAAGGCCCTACCAAGGCAGCCGTGGGGTGCACAATTCACAGAAAGCCAGTCTAAGAACCAAACTGCCRCTGGGACACCGCATCCCCGCTGCGAGGACCATCCTTATGCCCACCCACCTGCTCCCAGGGAGCCTGGGCAGGCGCCGCCAAAGCTGGTCTCTCCCCCCTGGCTCAGCCACCAGCTCAGGACCATCAGCCCCCTCCTCTCCGGGTCCCCATCACTGCCCTGAGTGATGGTGCATCTATTATGCATGTTCCCTTCCTGCTCCACTCCATTTCACAGTACTCCCCACCCCTGCACCACCCCACACCCCCTCCCCCTTAAGGGCTTTTAACCAAGTACATTAGGCAGGGCCAGATGCCAGTCTGACAGATGTCTGTAATGTTAGCCTCCGTTTCCCTCCTTCCTCCCTCTGCCCAGCCCAATTTACCTCCCACCACTCGCAGCTGCCMAAACTTCCCAGACTTTGTTGTGCCCCTCCTCTGAGTCTCTCCTGACACCCCCTGTTTCTGCTGGGCCTTCATCATCCAGCCCTCTGCCGCCCCCATTGGCCTGGCTAACTTTCAGCATCAAGGTCCTGGAGAACTGAGGCACGCTGAATGGATATTCCATCTGGATGATTATTATTCACATGATATTAATTAATTATTAATTGCAATTAATCTCTTTCATTCCTAACCTTCCTGTGGGAGGCAGGAAGGGCCTGGCAGCTGAAAAGGACAGGGGCAGGTAGAGCTGGTGTTGGTGGGTGAGCTTGAGTCCTCTAACCATTTTCCAAGGTCCCACCTTCAGCCAGGACAGGAAGGCAGATCAAGTTTGTGCACAGTGGGAAACTGAGGCAGGAGCACATACTAAAGTTGTTCTAAGAAAGCTGAGGGTGGCTTTAGCGAACCTGGAAGTCAGAGTCCCTGACTGGGCACTGGGCAGCTTCTCCCTGGCCGGCACTGTTCTGCCCAAGCCCCATTTTAAGCAGAACCACTAGATGGGGCAGGGAGGGGGTGCTAGTGGAAGGCTGACCCATGACAGAACTGAGGCCTGGGTGAGCCAGTGTTCCTGAAGGCTGACAGCAGGGGGTCTCCACAATGATGGAAGGGACCAGGATGGGCAGGCCGAGGGCTTCCCACAGCCCATTGTACAGAAGGGGAAGCTGCCACAGCCAGCTGCTGAGGTGGCGCCCAACCCTTGGCTACCCAGTTGCTTCCCTTGGGTTCTGAGGCCTGCTTCAGCCCCCTTCCCTCACCACCAGCCCCACTCACCGGGCCCCCAGGTGGCTCCTGGCGGACCCTGGTATCCAGCTGCTGCTTTCGGACCTCTCCCCCGGAGCTCTCCCCTACCAGACGGCTGGGCTCTGTGACCTCGGGGGCTTCTACAATCCCCACCTGGGGTGAGCCCCTCCAGCGCAGAGCTCCTACAGGATCCCGGGCCCCAAGACCTGAGAAGACAAGGCCATAGCTGCAGGCAGATGCCCTCCAMGGGGCAGGAGACTTGGGAAGCGGGTGGGCACACCCCAGCCCCCAATCTGGCGTGGCCCTTGGAGCCTTGGATCTTAATCGGGTGGGAGGATCTGGCTACCCTGCAGAGGAAGAACCCCAAGGGGAGGGGACCAGGAGCTTCGTCCTACCCAACCGTCACGACTGCCCCCCCAAACCTGCAGAGACCTGCAGAGTCGGCYGGCCAACGGCAGGGGAATGGCCGCGGTGAGGCCGGCCAGATCGGGACAGGTGGGTGGACGCACCTTGCCTCTTCTCCCGTTCCCCACCCTCCCGCGCTCTGGATCGGCTGTCACCCGGGGCACTGCAGGAAAATGTGGCTGCAGCAGAAACCGCCGCAAAGCCCGGGGCGGGGGCCGGACGGGGGTACCCGGCAAGGCGGGGGTCACTTACCGGGCGCGGGGAGCAGCGGCAGCAGCAGCAGCAGAGCCGCGATCGCCCGGCGCCGCAGCCGCCTCATGGTTCGCTCATAATCCTCCGGGTCCGGGGGCTGCGGCTGCCAGCGGCGCGGCGGAGAGCGGGAGGCGGGCCGGGGGCGGGAGGCGCCGGCGGCCGGCGGGCGGGGGCGCGAGCGGGCGGCGGGGGTCCGCAGGGCGGGGGCGGCAGGGAGGCGCCGGCTCAGCGCGCTCTGGCCGCGGCCATCCCGGCTGGGCGGCGGGGCCGGGTTAAGAGCGGCGCGGCGAGCACGTGAGCCCAGGGCCCGCCCCCCACCCCCGCCCCCCAGCCCGCTGGCCCGGCCGCCGCGACGGGAGGACAAAAGAGGCGCCGCCCCGGGGGTCGCTTCCGACACCTCCTCTGCCCCCTCGGCAGGTGCAGGGCCGGAGTGCACTCCCTCTCCGTCGGTCCCTTCCTCGGCCACCCGTTGCCTGAGGATCCGCGAGGACCCATAGATTCGTAGGGGGATGGAGGCAGGGTGCAGAGGGGGCCCCCGGGTCTCTGACTCGATGGCCAAAGACAGCCAGTCTGGGCACCTGATGCTGGGACGTGGCGGCCGGACCCGGTTTCACCCACTGGTGTTGCACACCTGCCATTCCAGCCCCAGATGCTCAGCAAGACTGTCCTGGCCTCAGCCTGAGTGTCCCGGCTGACCCAAGGCTGCGGGAGCCCGGAAGGTGGAGAGATGGACAGAGGTTTTGTTGTTGTTTTGGCGAACGCCCTGCTCCATRCCTTCCGGATCTCTTGTCCATCTGCAGCAGAGCAGGTCACTGCAGTCCTCCCACACCTGCGGTTGGGACCCCTTCCCACTGGCAGGCTACTTCTTCTGGTCAAAGACTCCCCTGCCTCTAGGAGGGTATCAGGGATTACTGCCATCACAACCACCAGGAAAGGCTGGCTTTCCTCTCTGGGCTCCTAAGTCTTTGGCATAGGGAACCTCCCCCTAAATAAAATATAAACCATCCAGGTGTTCCCATGCTGTTAGCATGCCCCATTTCTGCCCCTCTTGTGGTTGTCCAAATCTTTAAGGAGCAGAAGATGCTTTTGCAGACTACCACCTCCCCTCTGGTCAGAATAGGTTGCCTTAAACTTGACCGCCCAACCCACCTTCCCAGCTGCGCCCTCAACCCAGTTACTGAGCTCCTGGGTAAGATGGGTTCTAGAACTRGAGGCTGGCATCCCTGACCTCTGCTAGGAGTCCCAAGAGCCCAATGCCTGGGTGCCTGGGGTGTGGTAGGGCATGGCATGGGTAGATAAGCAACTGATGAGCTCTCACCTTGACTTTCCCAAGGCCAGAGCATCTTTATACACACCCTGGAGGACCACAGGTCCCTGAGGAGCAAGAGTGGAGGCAGGGAAGTCCTTCCTGGTTGTTCTGCTTCCCCAGGGCCTCTGATGGGAACCTGGGAGGTGCCTCTGGCTTGTGACAACCTCCCCTCTCCCCCAGCTCTATTTTAGGCCCAGGAGAGGTGAGAAGGCAATTTCCTAGGAGGCGCTGACATCAATGCTTAGAACGAGGTGACTATCCCCCCCCCAACCACCTGCCATTCCAGCCCCAGATGCTCAGCAAGACTGAGCAAATTCTTTCTTCAWTCTGGAGATATTTTGAAAACCTCCTCCAGGATGTAGGGAAAAGGAGGTTCTGGGAACGATGGCCTACTATGTGGTATTCCCTAGAAACTCATGACTGGTAATCCAGGATGGAAAGATGATCCTCTCCATTGTATGGATGGGGAAACTGAGGCTCTGGGACTACATGAGCTTCTTCAAATCACAGGGTCACTCAGTGAAAGATATATTCAAAATGCTAGGGCTCCAGTCCCTTCTGGCCAGTCCTATCCCACCTCCACCTCTACCTCTATTTGGGACTAGAGGGGACTGGTACATCTGGTTCCTTACCCTCCACCTATTTGGCACTCCAGATACCAAAGTGACTGTCCTGCCACTGTGCCATGCCATGTCCCAGGGCCACATCAGTAAGCCCTGACTCTCCAGGGCTGGTGAGGCTTGTTTCATGGTGCTGGGGCTGGAAGAATCCAAGCCTTCCATTTATTCAAGACCACACAGCAAGCCTAGACCTGAGGTCCAGCTATTTTTCAGCTACCACCTACCACATCTGTGGTCCTGGTGCCGTTGGCTTTCTGTTGGGGTGAACTTCCCAGCCTTGGGGTGACTTTTGAGTCACCTGGCCAAACAGGAAGCTTGCTTCAATTTCCCTTTCCCATTTTCCCTCCTAAGGTTGGGGGCTGTCTTCCAACTAGCCACCTCCATCACACAGAGACTCATTGATTGCATTCCTCATCAGACCTGAACAAAAGGGCTTGTGACCGGTTCCTGTGGTCCCTGTGGCCATCACTTGAGAATGATGGCCTCTGTTTCTGCCATCCTGATGGCACCCTTGGGGTCACCTTTGCTGTGTGGCTCTGCTCAGGGCTTGGGCTCTGATCTCCACCTTCAGTCTTCCCTCAGGAATGACCGTCATCAGGAGGCCTGGGCTCAGCCCTGCAGCTCTTCCTGCCCTCTGGCTAATTCTTCCCTCACAAGGTCCAAGCTGGAGTAATTTGGAACTCAGACTTTGTCACAGCAACTGCAAGGTGAGGGAGCCCATTGCAGCGGGAAGACGGGGATTCCTGGAAGTGGAGGATGGTGCAGCGGGCAACAGCAGGCCCTGGGCTCCTGGTTGGAGGCCCAGCTTCCCCTAGCTAATGAATGTGACCTTGAGCAGGTCCCCCAGCCAGGTTCCTCACAGTGCTGCCTGAGAGGGAGGATAGGCAGCTGAGCCTCACGTGCTTCAAGCAGTGCCTGGCACACGGAAGATGCCATCAACCTGATCTGGTGTCAAAGGTGCCCAGGAACTAGCTCCCCGGCCCTTGTCCAGGACAAAAGGCCCCGTTATGGCTTGGGAGCCTCAGGACCCTTTCTATGCCGTGCACATGCMGACAGTAGGCCTGATGTGATCATGGTGAGGAGTGGGGCGCACAGGGAGTGCCACAGTGCCACCACTCCAAGAGACACCTCATGCTCTTCCTCCCTCTCCTGGAATCTATGGAGTTCTCAGGCTTTGCCCAGGCACCTGGGGCACCAGATCCAAGGCACATCTGTCTTTTCAAAGGCTTGTGGGGGCACAAATGCCCCTTCCTCACACAAGAGATCCTCCAAGCTYTGGAGAGCCAGACTTTGGAAGGTGAGTCTGGGGACAGGGTGTCTTCCAGTGCTCCTTCATCCACAAATTTACCCTAGGGGTGAGGATATAGGTCACAGAGGGACATCACAAGATGGAAGATTAGTGAAGTAAGCTCAATTTAGGAGGGAAAATGCACAGGTGTGTAGGGGGTAATAAGTGCGTTTGCTAATGTGCCAAGTACCTCACACAGATGCAGTTTGATTCTTTGACTTTCTAGCGAGTAGGAAGTAATGTTACCTCCACTTCACATTAAGAAAACAGTTTCAGGGGCTGGGGATGCAGCTCAAGCGGTAGTTTGATCCTCAGCACCACATACCAACAAAGATGTTGTGTTCACCGAAAACTAAAAAATATAAATATTAAAAATCTCTTTCTCTCGCTCTCTCTAAAACAACAACAACAACAACAACAACAAAACAGTTTCAGGAGTTTGCCAAAGGTCAGAGGTAAGTAGCAGGACCTGGACTTGGACTTAGGCCCTCATGACTCCACACTATAGGGGAACATGGAACTTGTGCCTTGAACTGTGGGCATTTGAGGGTGGGACCAGGGCAAACTTGGAAGCTGAACTGCCTATTGCATTCAGACAAGTGGGCTTACCAGGCTGGATGGGACTGGGGCTGGGAGGTGGCAGAGACAAAGAGAAGAGTGGGTGTGTGGAGTAGGACATTCAGGAGGGAGGAAACAGGACTTGGGACTGATTGGACGTGACTTAGAGGTTGCAGTTGGAGAAGCTGGGGAAATGAGCACAAAGGGGGCCCTGGGTCTTGTTTTGAGTCGTCTCAGGTCTGTGCATGTGGTGGTAGGAAAGGGAAGTGATTTGGTGGGGTCATGGCATTTTATTATTGAGAGGACCTTTGAAATCATCTCATCCATGCCCCTCATTTCAAGATGAGGAAACTGAGGCCAGAGTAGTGAGTTTGGGGAGCAGCGAGATCCTGCTTTTGCACAGCAGAACCACCCTCCTGATACTGGAATTCAGAGGGGATGAGAGGAGGGATTACCTGTGCAGGTCACACTTGTAGTGAAGTGAAAGGACGGCGAGAAGAGAGAGTGAAGGTCCCGGAGCTCGTGTGGRGAAAGCAGTTAGAGCTGAGGGCTCATCCAGGTCGGGGGCTGACTTGAGGGGGACACCTAAGGAATGGGCTGAATGATGGCCAGGTGGCTGAGTGGGCAGGCAATGGTCAGCAATGGGGCAGGGGTAGACCCAGGCTAAGATGGGTTTGCTAGGACTGAGGTTTCAAAAGGAGGAACTTGACTTTAGCAGGCTATCCAATGACCTTGGAATAGACAATCCCAAGGGCAATGCTTCAGTCAGAACCACCAAGGAAGTTCAGAAGGGGAAGAAAGGCAARATGGAGGCAGCTTCAGGAAGGAGCCAGAGAACAGGAGGAGGAGCCCTCAAGCTTCCAAGTCAACTCAAGTTACCTTCCAGGATGGACAGGCATTGAGTTTTCAGGCAAAGGAGAGGTGGCGAGTTGAGGAAACCAAGGTGGCTGGAGAGCATAGGGTCAGTGTGACTTGRGGAAGAAGGACAGAGTTTCCTTTGAAAGAGAAACAATGAACAAGATAATGTTGAAGGGGATGTCAGCAAGATGACCCAGGGCCGAATGAGTCAGAGTCAAGGTCATCTGCTGAGAAGGCGTGTCTGGGGAAAGTAGACTTGAAGAACAGCGGTCTGAACAGTCAAGGAACCACTGAAAGGCCTAACTTTGTCAAGCAGCACCCATAGGTCCTGGGTGTCTCAGGTGTTGGCCGTTCCACTCTGAGCCTGGAAGCCGGACTGGACAAATGACTGGATACTGTAGCCTGGAGGTTATGGCCTTGCAGAAATGTCTGAGGTCACCGTGATTGAGATGGGTCAGAGATGAGGCGGGAGAAATGGGCCCTGGTGATGGCAAGGAGGGCATCAGAACCTGTGTGATAGGTGTTGAGTGAACAGTGCACAAAGGTACCAGCAAAGTCTGAAAAAGAGGAGAATCGGGTGCCATGATGGGGAAGGCAGTGGGGAGCAGTCATCTCTGTATGTCACAAAAGGAAAGGGACATTCCTAGTAGGGCCCAGAAGTAAGCCATTATCAGGGCCCTGAGGAAGGGGAGAGGATTTGGAGCAGGAATGCCCATTGGGGCAGAGGAGTTTTCTTGGTGGGGGGTGATGGGCATGCCCTCTGCTGGGTAGCAGAGCCAAGTGAGTGCCCAGACGGGAGTAGGAAGAGGCTGACCAAGGATGGGTGCTCCTGTTGCCCTCAGCACCCAGGCCAGGCCACAGGAGGGTGGTGACACTCACATTCCCCACTTGCAGGGGGCCCCATTCTGCTACCCGGCTATTTTCTTGGTATCTGCTGGACCCTCACCCCTGCCTCGGGTCACTGAGGACTGAGACATTGCACTCCATCTCTTTGCTATTTAACAAATTTATTCACATTTCCCAAATCAAGATGAATTGTGAAATTTAACAGGAATGGCATAAAAAGGCCAAACAAGGCCTCTAAGGAGGGCTGCACACAGTTGCTCTATTTCCAAACTAACAACTCAGGTCTTCACCCGCAGCCAGGCCCCCCTTTCTTCCTCTGAAAGGAGACACAGAATAGCACCAGGCTTCAGGGAGCTTCAACATTTAAAGAGACAAACACACAAAGGCAGAAGGGTGAGAAGAACCACAGTACAAATTGTAATAAAAAAAAAAAGTGGCCAAAGAATCAATAGCAAACCCATTTCTGTCTCCAGATTAATGGCTTGGCAGTAAGAAATGGGGGGAGGTCCTTGGGGAAGGAGGGAGGGAAGAGGGAGATGCAGAAGTTGGCAGGTGAGACACTGACCCTGGAACAGCAGAACTCCGGGTGGGCAGCTTGAGCTGAGGCTGCAGAGGAGAGCTGAAGGGTCCCCAAAGAGGGCTATAGCCGCATCCTGGGCTCAGGGGAAAGGTCAGTGCTGGGCCCGACTAAGTGCATGGGGGAGGGAACGCTGCAGTGCTGCAGCCTGGGCCCCTCCTCTGCTTCATATGTTCCTGAGGATCTGTGTGAGCGTGGGGGGCTGGGGGAGGGGACACGCACAGGCATCGGAGAGCAGGAGAGACCACATGCTTGTGGGAAAGGAGGCTGGGTGGGGGTGGGGAACACCAACAACTAACCCTCTGCTCTGCAAGAGACAAGAGCCTGGATGCTGGGCCAGCAGGCCTCCTGCCACCCCAGCTTCTTCATGGTTCCTTCCCTATGCCAGTCTGGCCTCTGCCTCCGGGTGTGGGGCTGGCCATGGCTGGAGGTAGAGGCAGGAGAGAGCAGCCCCTACCTAAGGCTCTCGGTCCTTCCCCCAAACCTGCAGGCAGGAGGTCTGCTTTGTGGGCTCYGCAAGGCTGGGCATAGCTACTTACTTGTACCTCAAAGACCAGACCTAGGGCTCCACTCCCCTGGTCTTGGCTGGCCCTGGCCAGTGTATAACACCAAGTAAGGTAGAACTTAGATCTGTGGCTCTGTGGGCTGGAGCTGGCCGGTTGTGTGAAAACCTAGGGACTCACAGAAGCAGCTCTGGGTGAGGGCTGGGCCTGSGAGACAGGGAGACAAGGCACTTGGAGAGATGAAGGGGCCCAGAACCATCTGGAGCAGCTGGCTCCCATGCTGGCTGGCAGAGGATGGGGAAGTGAGGTGGCCTGGCTTCCTGCAGGCCCTCCCACGGGGGAGTGCAGGTGGGCCCGCAGCTGGTTGGGGCCTGTGGAACAGCTAGGGGGCTGGTCAGTCTGCTGGGGTATAGGACCAGGGGCTGTACACTCAGAATCCTCAGGTCCCAGGAGCCATTCTCTCCCAGGCCAGGGGGGTTGTGTGGTCCAAAACTCAACTGGTCTGTCTGTGGAATGCCAGGGTAAGGGGTCTGGGAGGGAGCAGCAGGCCTGTGTGTGGCAAAAGGGCCGGAGGGAGGCTTGGGGCTTAGATTCACAGCTGGGAAGAGGAAGATGCCTGCTATCAGCTGTCCTGGGGCCACAGGGGCTGGCRGCTCCAGGTACAAGAAATGAGGCATTTGGCCTCTTCTCAGCGATGCTGCTGGGGAACTGAATCTTCCGCTTGTGACCAACAGATGCCAGGTCCAGGCCAGAGGAGAGGTCCATAAAATCAGAGCTGGGCAGGAGGTGCCGGTAAGTGGGGCTCCTGGAAACTGGTGTTTTTGAAGGGTCCACAAGCACATCAATTGGTCCCCCTAGCTCCTGGCAACTTGCTAGTGGTCCAGGTACCTGGCCAGTCCCTGCAGGCTCAGATGATGCTTCCAGGTTGTCCACCATTCCATCCTGCTCTGGGGTACCTGGGATCTGGCAGTCATCTTCTTTCCTCATCCCAGGAGATGCTACCCTGGGAGGGRAGGGTTGGCTTGGGGACAATGTGTCAGGATGGAGAGCGTCACATTCAGAAGCTGTGGAATCTGACTGCCTGTGGGGACAGAAATACCCAGTGAGCGCAGGTTCAGCTCCAGAACAGGCAGCAAGATGGGAACCTCTTGGGCTGGGGCTGAGGACAGGGCAAGTGGCCTCTTCTGTGTTTAGTGCTGAAGAGAGCTGCCCCTCTGGGAAAGGCCTCTCTTGGTCTGATACTGTGGAGCAGCCAATGCTGTGTGCTCCTCTTGGCTTTGTGGCCTGTGGTTGGGGCTGGCCAGAGGAACAGGGTAGAGGCTCTTCTACTGAATGACTTCATAGAGGAGGCTGTGCCCTTTGGTAGGTGCAGACAGTAGCAGAACCTGGCTGCCCAAGCTGAACCTGGGTGAGAAGTGAAGCCACAGCTCCAGGCGGGAGAGGGTCTACCCTTGGTGGGTAGCTGGAGAAGCTGGGCTCAATGAGTCTGGGAATCTYCACCAAACCCCAGGCAATCCTTCTTTCTGAGAGTAACTTCCACAGAGGGAGAAGGACCTTGCTCACTACCCTCCAGAGGGACTCAGGAACTATGTCCACTTCTAGCTAACCAGAACTGCTCACTCTCTACTGTGCCAATGGCCACCCCTAAAACAAATAGGATAGAGGATGGTGGAAAGGTGAGGAAAATATTATAGACTGGTCCTGCCAACCTGAGGGTTCCTTCCCAGCTGGGGAGGGCAACAGGAGAGAGAAAATGCAGGTGTGTCTGCAGCTATGGCACTCACCTGGGGAGGCTGGCCTGGGAAGGGACTTCTATAAAGCTGTGGCTGAGCTGGGCGATGATCCGATCAACTTCTGCATATGAACGGGCTTCTAGGGCAAAGGCTTGGTGCTGGGCACTTTGAAGATGCTGTCCAGGGCAAGAGATGGCAGAGGGCATCAGACAGGTTTGGAATGGGATGAGAGGAACTTCCAGCCAGCCTCAATGGAGGACATGCAAGGTGGAGACTGCAGGCTGGGCACTCTCAGAACAATGTGGGGAATGGGGAAACAGCTCACCATGTGCAGATCCTCAAAGGCCCCCCGGCAGCACTCGCAATAGCCCTTCCTCCTCCTGGGCATGGTGCACACAGCTGACTGAACGCTTGGCTCTTGGTCCTTAAGTTCTCTGTGAAAGATATAGGGTGGGGGAAAAGAGGTCACTACTAGGGTCCCCGGAGGAGGAGCTGCTGCTCAAGGCCTAGAGCTCAGGTGAGGGAGGGGAAGGACCAAGATGGCCAAGGGGCCAAGCAGGCACAATGGGCAGGTTTGTCCTACCCTTGGTGCTAGTTGTCCAAGGGTGGCAGGAGAGGCAACAAGGAAGGTGAAGCCTCTGTGTGGGTAGCCTCTCTCTCCCTYTCTCCTTTTATTTGGGAGTACTGGGGATTGAACTCGGGCACTCAACCACTGAGCTACATCCCCAGCCCTATTTTTAATTTTATTTAGAGACAGGGTCTCACTGAGTTGCTTAATGCCTCACTTTTGCTGAGGCTGGCTTTGAATTTGCAATCTTCCTGCCTCAGTCTCCCAAGCTGCTGGGATTATAGGTGTGTACCACTGTGCCCAGGTGTGCAGCCTCTCTTATCTGTCTTCTCCGCACCCACATCTCTGAAACCACAGGTGAGAGTAAGTAGGGACAGCAGAGGCCATCACTAGAATAGTTTGTAGGAAAAATGAAAAAAAAAAAAAAAAGAAAAAAGAAATTCAAACACACACACACACACTGCACCCTGATGTCCTATCTGACCCAATCCTCTGCCCAGGGAGATACCAAAGTTTCAATGCCTCACTGTCTTCCCTTTATGGCCTCCCAGCTGCAACCCTCAGGTCATACCAAGCTTAGCTACCCTGCTTTGCCTGGGCCACCTCCTAACTGGCTCTCCTGGTATCCCTTGTACCTTCCAGGAAAAGAATGAAGACATTTGGGACTTACCTTCAGGCCATTCTCTCCCAGTTCCTGCCTCCATCTACTGCCACATTCCTTTTTCCCCTCCCATTTGCACTATGTCCTGACCCACAGCCTCTGTCTATGAGAAGCTCACAGGCTGTCCATGATCCCAGGAGCTTTTGGGCTGAGACAGCCCATGAACTAGCCCTTGGCTCAGAAGTTAGAGAGCATCTGAGAAGACAGCTAGTCCACCACATGAGCTGAATTCTTTTTCCACTTTGGTCAGTGAAGTTCAAACTCTCTAACATCTATGGAGTATGAACATGAACAAGGCTACAAGCCGCCATGGCCATACAATGTAGAGAGTCCCTTTAGTCTCATTCCTAGTTATTCCTTGTGTTTAGCCTAACAGGACTCAAACTTTGATGTGCACTGATAACACCTGGAAACTTCTAGGAATGCAGCTTTTGGGGCTCAATGATCAGAGATTTTGATTCTATAGTTGTGGACTTGAGTCTAGGAACCATCTATCTCATATACACATACATATGTGATCAGAGATATTAAAAACTCCCATGTTTTTTGTCATATTAGGGGTTAAATCCAGGGGTCACCTACCACTGGGCTACATCCCTAGGCCTTTTTATTTTAAAACAGGGTCTTATAAAATTGCCCAGGCCAATCTCAAACTTGTGATCTCCTGCCTTAGTGTTTGGAGTCACTGGCAAGTGCCACAGGCATATGCTACCACTCCCAGAGAGAACCCGCACTTTTCAATGGCACCATAGGGGCACTCTCATAATGGTGGTCTACAGATCTGAGTTTGAGAAACCAGTCTATTGCCCTCTGGACACTTAAGTTAAATTCCTTAGTAGAGATGAAGAACACCAAATAAAATGGATGAATACTCCCAGTGCCTCTCTTCTCTGGGCTAAGTTCCCAGAATAGACTTTGCCAAAGGAGCAAACAGATGGCCATTCCCAAATCTGACCAGCAGGGCCCTGAGGGGGAGGACTTTGGCCTGTCACCAGTCCTTGGTACTCAGGAATCAAAAAGACCTACCTGGTACAGTGTGAGCTGCCCGGGGTTGTCAGGGTCTCAAAGGGACTTGCATCTTTGGGTCCCAGAAAAGAAATTTCAGGAAAGGATTTAAACTGATGGTGGAAAGGACGAAACTTCCTGAAACACAAAAAACTTCCACTTTGACTATAGTGGGGAAGGGAGACGATGAGGAAGGGGGCTAGCCTCTCTACGGAATTCTAATCCTGACATTTTCTAAGTTCTAAAATAGAACTCCTACCAGCCTTTCTAGGTAAAATTAGTACCATTAACTATGCTGTCCCTGTCTTCCTTTTCTTCTCTTTGTGGTAATGAGGATTGAAATTAGGACCTTGTATATGCTAGGCAAGGGCTCTACCACTGAGCTGCCTCCCCAGCTGTTTGTACTTTGACAGTGTCTTGCCAAGTTGTCCAGGCTGGCCTCGAACTTAACAATCCTCTTGCCTCCGTCTCTAGAGYAGCTGGGATTGTGTGCAATGCCTCGCATTCCTCTACTTTCCCAATGTGTACATRCTCATGCTTGTTTGAATCTTATAAGCATCCTTTGGGCTGAATGGAATAAGTGGTCTTATCCAATTTGACAGAAGAAAGGAAACCCCAAAGGCTCTGTGACTTGCTCAAGAGCTCATGACTAGTAAGTGGCCAAGACCAGACTACAAACCTCCACTACAGATTCCTGGGCTGGTTCTTCCCATTCTGCCTCTCAACCCTACAACTTTCAYGGACTTTAACCTGGCAGAACCTACATGGAAGAATGTTTAAGTCATAGCAGTGATTTTTCCGTTCTGTGAAGGGAAGTGTTTTTTGCACTGGGAGGGTCCTTGGCACCATTTGAGGGCTGGTGTTCTGAACAAAAAACAGAGGTGCAAATGAAGATTCTGGATAGCCAGATCTATACGGAGGGTTCTGGCAGTTTGCCTGAAGTTGAAGACATTTAGGAAACTTAGAGAGCCAGAACCGATTTGTGTGTACTCTGCAAACCCTGCTGACTGAGGTCACTGCCGGGCGCGGGCACGCTGTGCTTGGTTGGAGTAGCCCATGCTCTGGTTGTGGTGGTGGTGGGGAGAGTGCCTGGGCCTCAGAAGGGAATTAACCAATAAGTCTTTTTGGATCCTTAAGCAGAATGGGTGCTTGCAATCCTGGCACCYCTCTTTCCCCTTAACAACACTTTCTGCTTAGGAGGTTTCACGTTGGTCAGGCAAACAGGCTTTGAAAAGCTACTGCTTCAGAACAGCACATGAAAAGAATCACCAGAAACTTCAGTTCTGCTTGAATTTCTTCTCTGGTCTGTGATGCTGGGAACACACAAGCAATGTAACCCCTCTGGTGATAGTGATATGACCTGTGCCTGCCATGTACAGTACCAGTACCAAGGCAGYGGCAGTATCTCAGACACTGCATCTGAGTTCCTTGTGTTTATCTTGTGGTKCAGGGGCTGAAGAGCACGTGCTTCACTCCACTAGAACTGGAGGGAGTGCCTTCCGTGTGCCTTTGGGCCACCAAAGCCAATCCTACTGTCTGCAGACACTAAGAAGAGAATGTAGGCCCATTGAGAAGAYGGGCTTGGAGCTCTGGGGGTGCCCTGCTTGAGGCTAAAGGACCCAGAAAGTTCTGGTCCCAGTAGTCCCTGTTGTGCACAAATGGTCTTTTTTTCCTTTAAATCTTTTTAAAAAAGGAAATAACTATTGATTCACGTGGACTTTTATCCTAGAATCAAAGACACTGATAACCAAGGTGGCTGCCAAGGGCTCATCAGGTTAACATTATCAAGGTGATCCTCCTGCTCTAGGTAAGGAGAYATCACAGTGGACAGAGGGCAAAGTAAGGGGGACCAATTAGGGCAGTCAGGGACCCTGGCTGTAATTTACTAGCAAAGTGGCTGTACAAGTCCCTGGCTTCTCTGACCTCAGTTTTCCCTCTAGGAAAGAATGRATTTATGCTGTTTCTCACCCAGGGCTGTCATGAGATATGTGCYTGAAAAGGGCCTTTCAAAGCCAAACTGAAAGCCTTTATCATGTACGAGGTGGTCTGACAAGGGAATCCCCAGTGCCACCTCATGCATTTATACTTCAGCCAAGATGTCGTGGACTGTACTAGCACTGTGACTGGACCAGAAATGAATTGACATTAAGTGTCAGCACACACCCAGCAAGGAGCAGCAATCATGAGCCAGGATGGGACACAGGAGCTCATAAAAGGAGAGTATTAAATGAAGGTAATTCACACACAGGATCATTAACCTCTGACTCATCTCCAAGAGGAGTATCAACTGCATAATGCCACCCTCAGAGGCTCCCCTTGGTCTGTGTGAGACTTCTCTTCGACAGTGGAAGAAAGCAAATTGTGGGGAAGATGAAGATGCAGGGTTGAGGCACTCCATGTCCACATGTCAGCTTGGGTCCCCTGAGTACCTCTCCCTCCTCCTCTCTGCAGGCCTGGGAAGGGGGAAGAGGAGAGAGGAGGTTCTACTTACATGCTCACATCTTCGATTTTGAGGAATGGTGCCTTTAGTCTGGCCACTGGAAGGGGAAGAAGCACACATTAGCTCTCTGCCTGCCTTAGAGCACAGCCCACACCACACACACAGGAAATGCTCCAAGAGGCAAGGCTCTGCCAAAGCCTAAGAGCCTGTGCCTTTCCATTTGGCAGAGGTGAGCACCCCTCCCATCTCTTCCAGCCTCTCTTGGGGAGAGTGAGTTGCACTAGCGGAGGCTGCAGAGTAACTGCAGCACTAGCTGCGTCCTCCCTCAGCAGGACCTCCTGTGTGCATGTTCTGGAGGCTGTCACCCACCAAGGGTACCACGACCATTAGAAACATGGCTGGTGAAAGAGACCCAGGCCCTGCTGATTTCTGCTAAATACAGAGTTATGGTCCACAAAGTTCCTAGACCTTGGTTCTTGGTATCTCAGAATCCTAAGGGACCTGAAAACTCCCCAGGCAGCATTCTTCATGAGGATTATGGGAGGGAGCAAAGGGGAAGAGGGATAAAGTATGTTCAGTGATCTCAAGTTCCTGAAAAAAAAAAATAGGGGCAAGGGGTGCTGATAAGACAAATTCCGAGTCAGGTGACCCACCCCTCTCCTCTATTATGCTAGTTATTGCACAACTTACAAAATCAGTTGGGCACTATGAACCTCTCTATCTTCCCACCGTGACTAGGAGTCCTGTCGGAGGTGCAGTCTAGGCAGGCTGGAAGCCCAGGAAGACCTAACAGCCACAGATTCCCTCGGGAGGCTGGTACCTCAGAATTCCTAACTCCTCTGGAAGCCATCCTAGCACCTAAGCAAAGCAGCCTTTTCTCCTTGGGCTGCAGCTCCCATTAATTACTTTCTGGGGACAATTTCTTGTCTTTCTAATTAACAGACAATGATTAAAACCAATTCCCCCACAGACTTCCTTGATTTTCGAGCATGAGGAAGTGCCAAGTGACTTTTCTTAGCTCCTTCTTGTGCAGGAATAAATGCCACTTAAAGAGCATCTTTGGGAGAAACATCCAGGGGGAGAAACTCTCCTGCTGTCCAAGAGAAGCCAGGAGACACAGTCCATCAATCTGCCTGTTTGTCAGTTTTGGGGAGTTTGGCATTTCTGAAAACGGTAGGCAGCTGTCAAACTGCCCACCCCAAACTGCTACTAAATCAGGAGAAGATTGCTGAACTTCAGTCAATGCCCAGGAACAGCCGGAGGATATAGAAGCCAAAGGGCCTGCATGGGGTCCCAACTCTCAAGGAGAAGCCCTGGCCCAGTAGCTCTGCATTTACCTGGGCATACCTCTCTCGCCCCAGAAATCTGAGGCCAGGCCCTGGAAACACGAGGGGGCAACACAACCTGGACTTGCTTCCTGCCACAGAGAAGTGAACAGATGCTGCCTCAGAGGGAGTCGTGGGGAAGTGTTTATAGAAGGAGGGATTGCAATTAGATGAGGAAAAGCTACCATACTGACCTTTCCKCGTTCTTGACTCCACTCCTGGATGTGTTCCCTAAATGGAAAGGGAAAATAGGTTAAGGATGTGAGGGAGCCACGGGGGTCGAGGAACTGGGACTGGTACGCGGAGTTACTCAGTCTGTCCCACTTTGCTTCCTGCTGTTGAGAGGCTGCAGAACCCGACTCCTAGGCTGTGAGCTACAGCAGACAGGGGCACAGTGGCTCCCCCTGCCTCTCAGGGCCATGATGAATGGAGAGTCCTCTCTGTGAATTTCAATGGCGGCTGGCTCTTTGAGGAAAAGATGCAGGACTGTGTAGAGAAGAGTTTTGGAGTCCCTCAGGCCTGGGTAGAAACTGGAGCTGCACCGCCAGTACTGTGAGGGCCATTTTCTAACCTCACAGGATGTGGCACAGATGAAACTAAAGCAAGTGAAAGCGCCAACTTAGAGGAGATGCTCACTAAAGGGCAGCYTTTATTTTCTAGGCATAGCTGCCATTTCAGGTCACCTAACAGAATGAGGACACTTGGTTTCCAGTGGCCACCTTGTGTACCCTTATTCTGTGGGCCAAAACTAACATTTAAACCAAGGTCAAATAAAGCTGATATTAAAAGCTAAATGGAGGGACTGGGGTTGTAGCTCACTGGTAGAACAGTGAGGTACAACCCCAGTTGTGATGCCTAGGTAAGGAGACATCACAGTGGACAGAGGGCAAAGTAAGGGGGACCAAGTAGGGCTGTCAGAGACCCTGGCTTCTACATGCCTGGCACGTATAAGGCACTGGGTTTAATCCTCAACAYCACATAAAGATAAACAAATAAAGGTATTTTATCCATCTACAACTAAAAAATATTACAATAAAAACAAACAAACAAACAAAAACCCTAAATGGAATAAAATAATYAGCTAAAGAGCTAGGGAAGGGAACCAGAATGAAAGATCCAGTTGGTCCATGACTGCCTGTGCTTCTGAGCCCAGGGTGGTTCCAGATACTTCTCTAGGCCACACTTTGAGGGCAAACACAAGCCAAAGAAGTCCAGCATATTCCCTTGCATATCAGCAGATTATGTAGAAATCTTATTACAAAAAACTCCAAAATATCTACAAAATAGGTTATTAAGTCAAAGCAAAGTTAAAAAGCATTTGTATAAAGGGGGTAATTTTTGATAAACTGGCTTATATGTGCACAGAGTCCTAGAAGGACACAGAAAAACTGCTTCCACTGTTTGCCAGGGAGGCAGGTCAGTGGCTGGGGAGTAGAAGTAGGAGGACTTCACTGCATATCTTTTTGAATTTTGAACAAAAATATATCTAGCAAAAGGAAAGCCCCCAAACTCCAGCCACTTTGGATGTGGTTTGCTACAACTATTAGTTCTGCTCCTAGACGCCAGGCCATGCAAATAGATCTGCAGGTTTGATCCTTAGAAGGATCAAACCTGAAGACATGGCAGCTTTAAGTGAGCCTGGGCTTTCTTGATGGGGTACCCAGAATTCTAACCCTGATAAAGAAAGGAAAAATTAAACACRGAATTGGAAGACAGCTGCTATTTCATGATACAACTCCCTCCCCAGTCCATCCAGTTGTGGGCTCATTCCCAGGCCAAGAACTGTTCCTACAATGACAGCCTTGCCAGGAGGTCAAGAGCACTTGGGAATTTCTATCTAGGTCAGGATGACCAGGTGCAGTCCTTGGCCCAGGGTTGCAGTGAATGCCTTAGTGGGGTAAGTATGACATGGGACATCCACAGAGTGAGAGAAAGGGCAATGTAAAGCTGTGGACATACAGAATGAGGTGACAGAGGAGCTGCACTCCTATTACATTTTTCAGAATGGCCAGGAAACAATGGCTTAGGTGGGTCAGGGATTTACCAAGTTGTCAGAGTCCACTGAAAACCACCCGTGGGTTTGACCTACCTCCTGCTGCTTCGGTTCTTGTTTCTTTACACATGAAGAACCATGGGATAGCTGCTGCATGTGCATCATCATTTCTGCAGAGAAGACAAAGGCCATAGCAGAGGCGTAAACTTCTTAGTTATCCCTCATGGTCCCTTTCTGGGCTGGAGGACTAACTTGGTCACCTGGCCTAGTCAGCTGGATCATGCCATCCTTGTCTGCCACCTTCTGGCTACAAGTTACCTCTGCACCTCCTGACAACAGAGGTAGGGGCTGGGTCCTCTATGGCATGAACCACCTAAACTGGCTTCATGTTTTTTTGTAGCTTTGAATATAATTCAGTTTTGGACTGCAGTGCCTTATGGCTCAAAGACTGTAAAGAGTGGCATCTGTGGGGAAAACCCAGAACTTTTAGCTATGCAGGTGTGTCCTCAGGTAGAAAACCCAGCAGGGGCTAAGGAGGCAGGAGCTTCCCTAGCACCACGAAAGGCAGAAAATGAGATCAAGTCCGGCAAGGATGACATTGCAGTGGGATGGAGTCCCTGCCTCCATCCCAGACCAGGAACATCCCCTGCACAGCCCTTTGATTCCCTTGAAAAATCTTGGTAGCACCTAGTTGGCATCTGGAGACTGTCCTATCTAGATCAACTCCTCTATAATGGATCAGGGAAAATCCCAGACTCAGAGTGGAGCTGAGCAGGAGATCAGACTCCATAAGCCAATTATGGAACACTATTCTATTATAGACTTACCACAAGAGCAAATCGGTCATTTATAGTGTGAGGCAACCATATGGAAAAAAGAACACAGCATTTACTGTCAGACCAAACTAGGTCAGAACATGGGCCATGCTGCTCATTTTGGTGAGACTGTGGACAGTTTACCTAATCCCTCTGAGGTGCACACTCTGCTATATGCTATCCTGCTTGCCCCACACCCTCCCACTTTTATGGAGCAACATAGGAACTGAGTACGYCTGGCTTCCAATACTGGAARCTTATGCAGCCCTGATCCCTCTAAAAGCCGACTTTCCTAAAGTCATCAATGCTTCCCTCCACAGGTGCCCAGCAGGGACCAGTACCGTCCACATGCAGGACCCTTACTCCCCAGGAGCGGGCATTGGTCAGGAGGCTGCTGCTGTTCCCACTGCCTCTTCCGCTGCTGCTCCCCTGAAATGACAGAGTAGAAACACCACAAGGACAAAGCATGATGGGACAGGTTGACATTACTGTGAGAGCCCTGGGTCACCCAAGGGGGGATTTGGATGGAGGCAGGGGAGAGAGCATACTATCCCCAAGGAAGTTACCCTGTCCTCCATTCTGAGTGGCCAATCTAGGAGGACACACACTGAATGTGCCCACATGTTCTGCTCTAGCCACCTCGTGACCATGAAGGAGCATGTGTTTCTAAGAGAGCTCTGTTGGGAGGGTTCTGTGAGGGAAGCTCTCAGTACACCGCAAGTACACACGATGACTACAAGTGAGGTTCTCACTGACAAGCCGGAAGCTATGCTGGTTCAGTCTGGTAGCACAGTCTCCCTCATTCTGGCCAAGGTTCCCATCGTTTTTTGTCTTGAGATGAGGTCTCATTTTGTTGCCCAAGCTGGCTGGCATCAAACTGGGTTAAGCAATCCTTCGGCCTCAGTCTCCCAAGTCATTAGACTACAGTCACGTCACCATGCCTACTCGTACCCATCTTTTTTTTCTTTCTTTTCTTTTTGCTATTTGATACTAGGAATGGAACCTAGGGTTGCTTTACCAAGGAGCTATATCCCCAGTCCTATTTATTTGAAACAGAGTCTTGCTAAGTTGCTGAGGTGGAACTCAAACTTGCTATCCTCCCAAGTTGCTGGTATTAAAGGCATGGCCACCATGCCTGGCCCAACTCACCTGCTTTGTGATGGCCTTCTGCAGAAGCTCCTTCCCTCTGCTCATAGGCACCTGACAGAAAGAAAACAAAATATGTAGACCACAAAACATATACACAGATATTTACACATAAGCTGGTGGTAGTGTCTTAAATGTCCCTTGGAAAGTTTGGAGCAGTATCAGCTGAGGATAGGCAGAAATGAGAGTTTAGAGAACCTTTAGGAGGTAAAGATAAACCCATCTGTAAGTTTAGATCACGCAGAGGTAGCTGCACCATTGGCAGCCTGAACCATAATGGAGAAAGACATTTTGAAAATATGCAAGGTCAAACTGTCACAGATGTTCTCAGACCTTTCTTTAAGAGTCTCTGGACTCTCTAGCAGATAATGTTAGCAAGTGTTTCATTTTATAAAATCTTTTCTTTGCTTCTTGGAAGACTTGTCCCTCATCATGAACATCATGAACAGGGTATATTCATGGACATCTTAATCTTAGCCTAACTAAACAAAAACAAACATGCAAGTCCAGGGGTAAAAAGCCATGGTGCATATATCAAAGAGATGGCATGTGTATTGTCCCAACTATTGGTGGTTCATACATGAGAACAATGGAAAAGGGAACTGCTGCATCCTGGGTGTACTGCTGCCCAAGCCAGGCCAATTCCAACAAGTCCTCTCTGCTTTATAGAGGACTTTCCTCTGGTTTCTGAACTTGTGACTCTGAAGTCCTCATAAAGGGTGACATAGAGCATAGAGGGATRGCATGAGGATGGAGCATTGCTGAGGTGTTTAGATTCAGAACTGTGATAAAATATTATCAGTCTCTGAATTCAAATAAAATTAAATTAAACCAGCTAAAACTCAAACTAGAGCCTACCTAAAAAGGTTTACCAACGCCTACTTGCTTTTTTTGTGGACCACGTCTTCCCTATCCCATGAGGTTCTTACCGAGTGCACAGGTTTCTGTGAAGGCCTGGCATGGTTGCCTTTGGGACTGGCTACAGAGGATGTTTCCACTTTGACCTCGCTGGGGCTGGGGCAGCCTCTGTGGCCTGTCTCACCACTTTCTGCCTTTGCTTCTCTGCGGCTGGACACGATGTAACTTACTTCTTTGCTCAGAAAACCCTCAATTACCTGAAACCAGATCACAGAAGTGGCTGAAAACCAAAAAGCAGATGTAGAATTGTCAATATCAAGAAGCTGGAAAAGGAAATCTTGGCTGCCAGAAGTTCCAGAATCAATGTCTTTAAATAGACTAAATGTACCTCTGCAACGAGTCCCCAAGAAAACATCATTATGAAATAAWATATATATATTATATATCCCTCCAGGAACTGCTGTTCCTGACCCAGGCCATAGGCTTTGAGTTCTTTCACTGGTCTGAGTTTGCACACACACACTGGAGGTGCTGTGCAAGAAAAGAGTAGCTTGGTTTGGCCAYGATTTTTTCTGTGTAAGACACACTGGGGCATCCAAATGCTGCTGTTATCTTGACCATAATACAAAAAGGAGCATAAAAAGTGAAACAAAAAAGGGTTTGACTGACACTCAGCTATAATATAGGTGTCTGCTCACCTTAACCAGACTACAAACCTCTTGTGAGCACTGACTTATCTTGGTATCCCAGGAACTCAGCACAGTACCTGAAGCATACTGACATTTAACTTGCCTTTGTGGGAACACAACAGAAATAAACACTGAATGGGCAGATACTTAGACCAACACTCTGGGGAATAAAGAAAACTGCTCTGTACATTTGTTGATTTCTGGGCTAATCACTATGGCAAATTTCGAGCTATCAACTAAACACCTACAAATGAGGAGCTGGGAAGAGATAAAGTTTGGAACCACCATGATGGTTATACAACAGTATAAGGGTAATGATGCCAATGAACTCTATACACTTCAAAATGGCTAAAATGGCCAAGAATGGTAGCAGACACCTGTAATCCCAGTGTCATGAGAGGCTGCAGGATCACAAGTTCAAGGCCAATGTTGGCAACTTAAGAGATCCTTTCTCAAAATCAAAACAAGGTGGGGGTGGATATGGGGGATGACAGAAATGTAATAGTGGTAGAGTGCTTCTGGGTTCAATCCCTAGTAAAAACAAAAACAAAACCAAAATGGTTAAAATGGCATTTTTAAAAAATTTGTGGGCTGGAGTTGTGGCTCAGTGGTAGAGTGCTTGCCTATCATGAGTGAGGCACTGGTTTGATCCTCAGCACCACATAAATGTACAATAAAGATATTGTGTTCATCTAAAAAACTTAAAAAAAAAATTGTTTTTTGGTTGTAGCTGGACAGCATGCATTTATTTGTTTAGTTTTTTATGTGGTGCTAAGGATTGACCCCAGTGCCTCACACATGCTAAGCAAGTGCTCTGCCACTGGGCTACAGCCCCAGCCCTAAAATGGCATTTTTTAAAAATAAATTTTCCAAAATTTTAAAAATCTTTATAGTTTGAAAGAGTACATCTATCTTCCTCGTTATGGCAAAAAGAAGTATTGGAGGATAGGAGCACAGCAATGTTTATCTTCCATAAATTGCTCAATGGCCAACGTTCCTCCCACCTCAGCATACCCGTTACTTTGAATGTGACTTTGTTGTTCCTTCCATTAGGAGGTGGCGCCTACTTTTTTTTTTTTTTTTTTTTTTTTGGTATGGGGGAATGAGCCCAGGTATGCTTAACCACTGAACCACATCTCCAGGCTTTTTAATTTTTTATTTACAGACATGATCTTGCCAAATTGTTTAGGGTCTCATAAGATTGCTGAGGCTGGCTTTGAACTCATGATCCTCCTGCCTCAGCCTCCGGAGCTGCTGGGATTATAGGTATGCACCACTGTGCCCAACTGGAGCCTACTTTTTTACCTCTTAAATCTGACACATTGACCAATAGAATGTGGCTAATGTAATATATAAAAATTTTAGAATGCAGGCTTTGAGAGGCCTTGCAGCCCTCCACTTCACTTTCTGGGAAGGGTGCCATGTATCCACTGTGTAAACCAGCTAGTCTATCTTTCTATAAATACACACAATGCTATAGATGTGTTCAATGTAAATAAGAAGGTAAGAAGTTTCTCATACATTGTACAAGAAGTTAGAGAGTGCCAGATGTGTGATGGAAGCCACTTTGGTCCTTCAGCCCAGCTGACCCTCCAGCTGAATGCAGCTACAGGAGTGAGCCCCAATGAAACCATTAAACTATGCAGCCATCCACATAACAATGCAAATACTAACATATTGCTTTTGTGTGTTTGTTTGTTTATTTTTGTGATGCTGGAGATTGAACCCAGGGACTTGTACATAGGAGGCAACTTTACCAACTGAGCTATATCTCCAGCCCCTAAAGTATTGTTTTTAAGCCCAAGTTCTGACGTGTTTTTTTTATGCGGCAGGAGCTAAAAGAGACTAAAGTTCATGCCTTTTTTTTTTTTTTTTTTTTTTGGTACTGGTGATTGAACCCAGGGCACTTAACACTGAGCCACATCCCCAGCCCTTTTTTGTATTTTATTCAGAGACAGGGTCTCACCGAGTTGCTCAGGTTGGCTTTGAACTCGCGATCCTCCTGCCTCAGCCTACCAAACCACTGGGATTGTAGGTGTGTGCCACCATTCCCAGCCTAAAAGTTCAAAATATAATTATGGGCCAGTTTAGGCATGATCCTTATTCTATTATCTGCCCTGARTTTCTGTATTGCTAAGTTACTGGTTTGTTTGACAGCAAAGAGCCTCCGCATTTGAAACATATTCATGCAGTTTCCCCAGTTATCATTTTCTTTTGGGTTGAGCATTATCACACTATTTCCTAGACATAAGAGATATCTAGTGTCAATCTATTACTAAAATTACCATATGATATATACTTTTAAGATATTTTAATAGACTCAATTGTTCACCAGTGTCATTTCTAAGAGCTCAAAATTAGAAATAATCTAAATGTTTATTAGGTAGCTATTAAATAAATCAACAATCCACTCAAAAATATTATACTGTAGGCCATGCACAGTGTTGTAAACCTATAACCCCAATGACTCAGRAGACTGAGGCAGGAGGATTGTGAGTTCAAAGCCAGTCTCAGCAAATGGTGAGGTGCTAAGCAACTCAGTGAGACCCTGCTTCTAAATAAAATACAAAATAGAAAATAGGGCTGGGGATGTGACTCATTGGTCGAGTGCCCCTGAGTTCAATCCCTGGTAACCCCCTCAAAAAAAACCCCAAAATTATACTGTATAACATTACAAATAATGTGTACTTAGGCAATAAAGACAGGAAAATGCCAATGCTTTAAGGTTATGGATTAAAAAGTTGGTAATCAAAAATATAATCGGGGCTGGTGTTGTGGCTTAGTGGTAGAGCACTCCACCTAGCACAGGTGAGGCACTGGGTTTGATTCTCAGCACCACATAAATATATATATAATCATAGCTGCTAGTACATGCCTATAATCCCACCAACTTGGGAGGCTGAGGCAGAAGAATCACAAGTTTGAAGTCAGCCTCAGCATCTTAGCAAGGCCATAAGCCACTGAGTGAGACCCTGTCTCAAAATTAAAAATAAAAAGGGCAGGGGATGTTGCTCACTGGTTAAGTGCCATAGGTTCAATCTCAGTACCCAAAGACAACCAAATCAAAATACACACACACACACACACACACACACACACACACACACACGCACACACATAATCATGATCACAACTATATAGAAAATGAGCTTAAGAAAACAATGGCAGAACAAGGACCGAAAGTAGAGTGTTTACCCAGGGCCAGGGACCAGGGGTATGCAGAGAGACTGATAATAAATGTGGGGCTTCTTTTTTATTTTACTTATTTATTTTTTAGTTATAGGTGGACACTTATCTTTATTTTATTTTAT